ATTAGATTATAATAAAAGAGTAGTAGCGTACGTTTAATCAGGGACTATAGTATATCGCGTAAAAGATTTTACGCTAGGAATTATTAGAGGTAGGGAAGCTTAAGGAAATATTAGGTAGAATCGACGACGATGGCGAGAGAGAATGATAACCGACTAACCTTATTATTCCCGAGGAGAATATTCGAATAGTAGCGCCGTATATAGTGAATCTCCTTTATGAAGTCTATTAACTTAAAGAACGAATGTAATAAAGAACTAAGGTTCTAAGTACGAGAATTTCCTATATTATTACGAATCTTTATTAACTTTAATAACTACGAAAGTACGAATCTTTCTACGTAAGCCTCGGCTATTTCCTCCGAGCGTATAGGTTATTACGTAAGGGAATTAAGGTCTTAAATAGATATAGTATCGTATACTCCTATAAGCGGTTATTAAAGAAGTAAGCGAGGTAAATAGAAAGGACTTAGTTAGAGGTTCGTACGCTAGAAGATAATCTACTCCTTAATATTACTATTAATAACTATAATATAGTAGATAGTATAAACGACGAGCGTATAGGAGATTATAGATCTTATACGTTAGCTATAATAGGATTAATTAATCGCGGTATTAAGATACTAGTAGGTAGTCTACGATAAGATATACTAAATCTCTTATATCGAATTAAAGTGCCTAATATATATCGAGCGGGTATTAACTACGATCGTATACTAAAGGTAGGAAATATACGGATATAATTTAATAGATTAGAAGTCCCTAGATCTATTAAATATCTAATCTTATTAGCGCGAGAGACGCTAATCTATATTATAGCTTTAGCGATTCTACATTTTTAGTACTATTCGCGATGCGCTCTAGATAATGGCGATAAATATACTTAATAGATAAGAAATAGTCTTAGATAGGGTTAAGTTAGGCTATACTCGCTTAGTTATTACGAAGGTTAAGGCGTTATATTAATATAATAATAGTCGAGCTAGCCGTTAATTATTACCCCTCGAGCTAATGATAATCGACGAATCTACTACGGAAGGGATACTCTAGATTCTAAACGAGATTATAATTACCTAATTAAGTTACGACGAAGATAGCGAAATATTTAAGACCCGACTTTACCTTATTTATAGTAATTAAAAGACGGTAGATTAACTACGAAGTTATCGATAATCTCGCGTAGATAACTCTCGCCTATACGACTTTATAAAGTAGTTTCTTCCCTACTTAAGATAGTAATATACTAAATTTAACTATCTATAGTTAGTCTACTAGGCTTATTAGCCGTCTACTCCATCCTAAGATAACTCTACTCTATAAGTAAATACCGCCTTCTAGGGAAGGAAGTATCTATCTAATCTAAGATTATTCCGCGCGCTAGAAGAGCTAGAGATATATAGCTTTCGTACTAGAATCGTAGTAATATTCATACGAAATGTACTTAAGTACGATTAACGACTACGTCGGGGAGATATAATAAAGGATATTATCTATAAGCTTAAGGAGATGTCTATCGCGACTTTCGAGGACTAAATTAATTAGATATACGATAATCTCTATTCGGATACTTATAACCCTTTATTCGGATAGGAACCGGATTAAGAACTCTAGAACTATATACTCTTTTTACGTAATATATTCCTATATCTCTTACTAAGAGATGGAATTAAATATAGTAACATCGGCTACCTCCGGATCAGCATTATAATTATAAGTCTTTATTATTAAGGTTCTAAGAGTCCTAGGTATACTAAAGAATTTCTCTACCTATTTACGATGATATATAAAGAAGGAGCCGTATACCCCGACCTATAATATACTATATTAGCGAATAACCTTATAAACTATCGAGAAAAGAGCGACTTACATTTCGAGAAGGATCGAGAGCTAGAATTCCTTAATAAGTTTATTAAACGAAGTAGAGCTCGTCATTATTTATTAAGTAAGCTAGCTAAGGAGGTACTTAAGAAGGCCGTACTTATTCAGCCTTAGTCTTAATTAATTACCGATCGATTTAGTACTTAAGTTACTTTTAAAGATAGGACACTATATATAGAAAAGTTAGCGTCCGAGGAGATCTAGGCGTTAGTAGGGCGACTACTATAGTTATCTATCTTACCGAAGAAACATCGTTAGAGTATATTCGTAGTACGGAGCTTCTACGAGATAGATATAGAGAATATTAATGCGAAGGTGACTCGTTTTAATAATAAGTTAAGGAACGTAGAGGTTATAGCATCTTCTAGTCTAGTATCTAAAACCTCTTTAGTCGGCGAGTATAATAAGAGTAGTAATGATAAAGCTAAGGTAGACGAGGTTACGGAAATAGGTTAATAGACTAGAGGTATCTTAAGCGATAGCGAAGCCTTAAATAGCGATTTTAGTTAACCGGTAGGGGTTTAACCTACTATTTAATAGATCCATTATTTTATAAGATCTATAAAATAGTGTCTTCGTAGTTCCTATACTTTACCGTACTATATTTTCGCGAAAATTTCCGGCTAGTACTGTAGATTACATCGATTTATAAGGGTAGTATTTTAAGATTACGCCGTGAACGCGATGGCTTATATAAGTGTACGTATTAGAGCTCAGACTCGTTTGATAAAATGACCCTCTAGGGCATTTAATTAGTCCGCGCTTCAGCGCTAAGAGGACTAATCAGCGCTTGCGCTTGGCAACACCGAGTCTGAGAATCTGAGACAAGAAGAAACAGAGAAACACGAGCACACATCAAGATGCGAACCATTACTTAGCAATTCAAGCAGGAAACAGTTGGTGTGCAGAAAGTTTACTTTTTATATCATCTAGAATATCCGCGAATCTCCGTCATTACGGCCCAACAATGTCCTGCAAATCATCGACCCTCCGCGCCTCGATCCATGCAATGGCTTCCTCCCGATTCCGACAAACGTGAGGCTGGCCCCGTTCCTTGTCGTCTGGGGTTGACATGGACCCTTCCAAAGTCATGTCGAGGTTGCACAGAATGCTATTGCGAAGGTACTCGAAGCAGTGGGCAGCGTGGTACGGGTTGTCGTTGTCCGTGCGTCCGTTGACAATGAGTTGGTGGTAGCTGTCCATGGTGTAGTATAGCTGCTTCTGAGTTAGCCTTCATGCGCTTTCAAGAAGGGGGCGTGTCAAAGACTACTAACGCAGTGGAGGGCGTGTGTCCATGACGCCTCGAATAGTGGTCCCGACCGGATGGGATCGTCGGTAATGGGGTCTCCGAGGAGTGGGTGGTCGCGGTAGTCTGGGATGGCTACGCTGCCACTGCCCACTGTCGTTGTCACTCAAGTCAGCAAAACCTCGCAAGAGCGAATTTGTTTCCAGGGTGGCTTACATGGCATGAGTAAGTCCCAATTCCTCCGCACTTCCAATCGATTGTCGTTCGATGTCATGTTGGGTATGAATTTGTCTGGGTCAGGCTTGAGGAATGTATAGGAGTGTGATGCTGAATGCAACGAATTAGAGGCCAATCCAAATGGGCTTTCAAAATCAAGATAACAGTGGACAAGACACAAGAGACGAAGTACTCACTTGTTTTATAGAGGCCGTTGATGTCGCCTCCTGTCTCGACTGTTTTGCCTTTTAATTCTGGATCCATCTCCCCTCCCGTCCCTGTCCGGCCCTGGCGCCACAAAAGAACCAAAATGATTGTCTGCAGCAGGATGACCATACCCCAGCGAAACCAAGTCAGGACAACGACGAGGGACTGGTGTCTTCTTGTTTGTGTATTGGGTGCGTTGTACGACCATGTTGACATGTCTGAAGGGCTACGTGCTCGCAGACGGCCCATCTTCCCAAATATTCCCGCATGGGGAGCGACTCTTGTCACGTCGGATTCGTTGTCGTCGAGAGGGATATCCTCCTCGACATCTCGCATTCTGTATTGGGACAGCATGGGTTGTGTGCTTTCGTCCGCTCTGAGAGACATCTTGTCGAGCATGGGCAGTTGTACAGGATAGCAAAAGAGAAGTCAGAGAGTGATTGGAAGATACTGTCAGGGCAGAAGCAGAATTACAGCCGTTGTCAATGAGATGCAGAATATGCTAGAGTTGAGAGTTGCAGACGTCAAAAGGGGGTTGATGTGCTCTCAATGGATGAGAAGCTCATCATTTCTAGCGCCAGGATCAAACTCTGACCAAGGAGGGCTTACCATGAAACTATACAGCATGTTTGAGCTTCGTCGATGTGCTCGTAGTCGATGAAATGCTACGTGATCAACGTCCCCTGGAGAAGGGGCCGTCGCAGTCTTGGTGTACGAGGCGGCCGCTACATTGAATGCCGTGTGATCCGTTGGAAAACAACATTTCTCAATACTTACTCGTGTGAACCTCGTCTACGAGTATTGGTGTTGGTCATGTGGAGTGCATCCTGTCTCCGAGGTATAGTCGAGACGATCAAAGTGTTTTGGAAACATCGCGCGAGGGAAAGAATTAGCGGACACGCGTTGCGATTGCGTGCGTGGCTGGGTTTCCCCACAACATCTGGGGGGACAATGCAGGGGTTTGAATGCAAGGGGGCCCGATGAGGCTGGTTCGAGCACTTCAGAGCCTCATGGCCGTTAGATCAAGACCCAGATGGCCAATGTTGAAACTCGGTTCCACTTTCCCATGGCACCTACGACTCACAATGGGGAAAAACCCACTGTTGGCTCCCCCCATCGGCTTTGAAACAAAAGCTTGGACCGTGATACAGAATCGAGAACGTCGTAGTCAAGCTTTTCTCCACCCGCGAGTCAAGCACTGGACAAGGTCGCTTCGAGGCTTCAGACACTGGGCGCTGGGCGGTAAAACTGACAGGGGAAAAATGGCGCAGTCAACTCTAATCAGCGAAGGTCTCGTTAGACACATCTGCTGGGCTGGTCAAGTGGAAGCTAGAAGTTATTCCTGCGAATGACCCCTGTAAACTAGGAGAACTTCGAGAACCAAGGACAGAGAGGTAATCAATCGTAAACGCTCATTGCTCATTTTTGCTATAATTCTAGTTTATTTTGGTGGCCCTCACGCAAGAACCTCCATATTGCCGACTGAATGGTCGACCGCCCACTGGCGGACCTTGTCAAAATTCCGGCAGACGTGCTTCGAGTTGAGCTCTGGCCAGGCCAACGGATCGCCTTCAATCATGTAGAACGTAAAGAGCCCTATATCTGCGTTGCATTGTATGTTTAATCTGAGGACCTCGATGCAATGATCTGGTGTTGTCCCAAAGAAGTCAGCACAAATGCATGTTCGCAATCAAGGTGTGAAAATCGGCATACCGGTATGTCTTTGCAACTCCTCAGGCCCCTTTCCAAATTCTCCACCCAGCGGCTCGTAATACTCCTTGTATGTCACTCGACGGAGCAGGTTGATGCAGTGGAGCTGATGAAATACTTCCATGCCAACTCGATAACCTTCCTCGCCCGTCTCTGGGTGGTTAACTTGCAGTGACCATTCAGGCATCCCGAGGTGCTTGATATCGGACTTTGAGATCCATTGGTCTCCAACTGTTGAGAGAGAATCGTGTCAGATGTCAACGAAGACGATAAAGGTGAGGGAATCCAAGTTCTCTCACCATCGTAGGATATCTCCCGCCAGGCTTCATCCACCTCAGGCCCGGCGCCGACGAATCTATTTCCACTTGTCGTGACATTATACTTGATCGGCTTGAACTCAACCGCTGTATCCGCAGGGGCTGTCGGTGTGCTCTGTCAGCATATTTGAAGCATTGATTGGGCAGTATAGGGAATCCACTTGACCGGGAACGTACACCAAGCAGAAAACTCTCGCACATGTTTTAATGTTGATGATCGAATTGTGATGGAAAGGGCGAATAAAGTGCAAGACGTGAGAAGAAGGATCGCATGGACCATCCATAGCCAATTCGAGGCGACGAACTGGCGTGCTTTGCTCAATCTCTGGACACGGCAAACACCCGATCCTGAAGATAATGGAATTTGTAAATCCTCCAAGTCACCCAGCGTCGAGCAGGAATCAAAAGACTCGCCGCGGGCCTTTTCCATGACCGGAGTCAATGCCTGGTATTTGCAATCCATTGTCAAAGTTCCAGGTCAGAGGTTCAGTAAGTGTACATCAAAAGTATGAAAAGGTGATAAAATGCTGTCGAGAATAAGTCCGGAAAGAAGAGTTGAAGCTTTGGGAGAGTCATTCAAAATCATTCGCTTTGAAGGTCCCTCCATAACGAGACGCATGAGATGGGACCAAAAAAAGCCACCGCGTAAAGTTGCCATGAACTTGAGCCTTCTCCATTCATTAGTGTAACACATTGCAGGTTTCAATGCCTCCCAATAAGAGTTGAAAGATCTGTTACAACATGCCGCCTCAGACTGGCGTAGCGCCGGGGCAGGAAGTGGTCAAACGACGCCCACGTTGTGGAGCTGTTGGTGATACTAATACTCCACAGTCGGTAACGAGCCACGCTAACCAAATGAGGAAATATCGGATCGCCAATACTTCTCGAGACTCTCGAGACAACTCTTGAAAGATCATCCCCTCGCTGGAGTTCTCCAAATCAATGCTAAACCAGAGTTAGTGATACCGCAATGTGGGTGACGTGGAGAACAAACTCATAATCGCCAAGTATCAAAGACGAATAGGTGCGTCGCGTGGGTTCTAGTCCCGCAAGGACGTTCTCTCAGAGGGACCCTGATGACTCGCCCCTTCTCCATTGACTGACATGTCGACAGAGCCAGGGGTAATTGGGAGCACTTGCCTTTTGGGGTTGAGGGCGCTTAAGTTGGTCAGTTTTGTTGGTACTCGTAGACTGATGGCGATCAACACCGGTCCAGGCGATGGACATGCACTACTTGTCGCACGACCATTGGAGATCTCGACCCCGTGAGGCATTTCCTGCTTCCGTGATGCGACCTTTCTTGAACGACTCCTGTGTAGTAGTCAGATCTGTCTCAGACGGACTGGGGCAGTACTCACACCAAAATCCATCAGTGCTGCCAGCCTCAAAACCATCGATATCTGATATAAATACGCATCGCTCCCTCAGTAAGGTTCATTCCGTATCATCATTCCACATCATCATTCCACTTTGAATTCAGTACAGGTCTGTGACCATTATTCGTTCACTTCTTCAGGTGCTTTTTCTCTCAAGACTGCCGGTCAGTTTACTTCAACACTTCAACACATTCCCAAAAGTCAAGATGCATACAGTTTCATTCAACCAGGCTTTGGTCTTCGGCCTCTTGGCTTCGGCACATCTCACTGCCGGATTTACAGTCAACTTTGGTGACCACGATGTTGAGCGACGACATGTGGTGAGTCAATCTGAGGGGAGTTGTTGCAGCGTGCTGTACTGACTGCAGAAAGGGTTCACTGGCCTCTATGGCGTCGAAAGTCGTCAGAGCAGTGATTCCAGATATTGAGCGTCGCCATCATACGGAGGCCCAGATCGCTGCAAAGGAAGCAGCCAAGGCCAAAGGTCATCGTGCTCGTAGCCCTCAGGCTCCCGATGAGTTTGGACCGTGGGACAGCACTGAAGATGAATTTGGTTCGTGGGTTGATAAACGATCCCCACACCACACCGAAGCACAGATTGCGGCCAAAGAAGCAGCTGCTAAAAAGCATCAATCGCGATCTCCTCACCATACCGAGGCTCAAATCGCCGCCAAAGAGGCAGCGAAAGCCAAGGGCAACAAACCTCGAAGTGCCCAGGCCCCTGATGAATTCGGACCTTGGGATAGCACCGAAGATGAGTTTGGTTCTTGGGTTGACAAGCGATCACCGCATCATACGGAGGCTCAAATTGCGGCTAAAGAAGCAGCAAAGGCCAAGGGTAACCGACCCCGAGAAGCCCAAGCCCCTGATGAGTTTGGGCCTTGGGACAGTACCGAAGACGAGTTCGGTTCTTGGGTCGATAGGCGCTCACCACATCATACGGAGGCTCAGATTGCCGCGAAAGAGGCAGCGGCCAAAAAGCACCAATCGCGAGATCCACACCACACTGAGGCGCAAATCGCGGCTAAGGAAGCAGCGGCAAAGAAGCATCAGTCGCGGGAGCCGCATCACACGGAAGCACAGATTGCGGCGAAAGAAGCGGCAGCGGCAAAGAAGCATCAGGCCCGTGAACCTCACCATACGGAGGCTCAGATCGCGGCCAAGGAGAAAGCGGCAGCGAAAAAGGGGCAGAACTGACGGGGATATCCCGCGTCGGTCTCGATGGGGTCTGACAAGCCATATGTATGCAACAGCAAAGGAAGAGTCAGAAAGGGAGACCGACCCGAGTCAGTATATATGGATATTCATATATGTTAGAGAAGGAGAAAAGAGAGAAATATTGAATGCTGAATACTCAGTACAGAGCTGACTCGCTGATCAATGGCCATGTCGCCAATTTAAGATTCTTGGCAATCACTCGATGCTCGTCACTCCCATTGAAGGGTTTCTATTAAAACGGCAGAACTAAATTTCCCAAAACGCGCAGGGCATTTTACTTTGACTTTCCACTCCATCGCGACCACGCGACTATCAGTAAACCTTCAATATTGACAAACAAATCGCTTTGATGGTCGAACCAGACCTTGCGAGTCACGACTCTATACTTATATATGGTCTAGATACAGGGAATTCCCGAGAAATCCTTCCACGCTATTCTATTGAGCAGCCACCACGTTTCTCTCGACTCACCTGTCTCTCTCTGCCTGTGAAAAAGCGAGTCAAAGATCTGTTCTTGTTCTTGGGAAAGAACTGGACAATCTACGAAAATTCATTCTCTGGGGAGCCTCGGATAGAAAGACTATCGACGAACTATGGACAGGTTACTCCCAAAACGCAAAGGGAAACATCGACCATTCCAAACTATCCACCTCTAGACTGCCTAGACAACCACTACAGCCTCATGGTTCAGAAGAAGCTTTGCTGAGGCACTGTCGATCTATCCTGACCCGGCGACAGCTGCCTTCCCCTCACGATCTCCATCAACGTCTGGGAAATTTGCGTGTTTTGTATACATTTCCCATCAGTGTTAAACAGAAGAAAGCTCAGATATGCTCATGGCGCCGCGAACACCTACAGTGTAATCTCCTGCCTTGCTGGTGCTGGCAGTGGCCTTCGTATATATGACTAGCTAATGCTCCCGGTCTTGGTCTCCTGGGCACTACGAGGTATACATTCTGTCTCCAGTCAACACATCCTCGTCCATTTCACCCACCTCTTCTACATCCATTTGCTTTCTCTTGTCCGTCTTTTCTCAAGGGCTATTGGGCTCAGACTTTCTCCCATTCTAAGACCAACATGGTATCAACGAAAGTACTACTCGCGAATGGCTTAATCGCCCTGTCGCCGACTTTCGTCTTGGCACAGTCGGCATGTCCACGAGGACAGTGGGCGTATGCTGCCTCTGTCTTTGCCGATTATTCACCCGCGCTCTCGTATTGTTCTTCAAATTACCCGGTCTCGCCAGAGACGTATACAGCCACATTTGAGAGCCCGGTCACGGCCACTGTCGAAACTTCCACGGCAACTTCTACTGTCGCCACTGTCACGTCGACGCAAGTGATCTAGCAAGCCACCTTGAAGACCAAGACTAACAGTTCGTCTAGGATCACCGCTGACACAACTACAATCACAGTGACGGTGTTGACAGTGACGGATACCATCACTGCTACAGATACCTTTACGACCACAACGACAGAGACGGGCAGTGTGACGTCCACTACAACGGTTCGTCACACCAGGCGGAAGCGCGCACTGCACGCCGATCGCGCCTGGGACACCTGGTCAGCAGCAGCAGCCACCACACCAAGTATAGAACCAAGTAATGTCCAGACAACAACTACCACACCAACTATAGAACCCAGTGACGTCCAAACAACAACTAGCTCTTCGACAGGCTCGCCTGACCCCACAGCTTCTGCTTGGAGCGCTTTGCTATCGCAAGCCAGCTCTATAATCGAGGCCGTCTGCGCTTGCATCGAAACCCCATCGACCACGACGACCACAGTCACAACAGGCGCTACGACGAGTGTGACCGCTGTGACGACAGTTAGCGTGACCGAAACCGAGACCACGTATGCTTTCTCAACCACGTTTATTGACTTTCCTCTGACTTTTGGCAGTACTACGACTCCAGCTGTGATCAGCCAAGCGACAGCCACCACGACTAGTACCTCGACAAGCACATCTACAGTGACGGACACGACCACCACTACAACTACAGTGCTTTCAACGGAGACTGCTGGTAAGTAACCATACACTACATCACGCTCCAGTTCTTGTTCCGGACGGAGACCTGTAAACTGACGATTCTAAATACAGCTCCCTTGCCCGCCTGCAACAGTCCAGACGGGAACGCCCCAGGAGTGGGTGGCTGTACCGGGTCCTGCTTCTGCGACAGCGATGCGGATGGCGTCAACGCTTACTGCACTCTGAATTTCTTTTGCGAGTCCTCGTGTACTACAGATGCCGACTGCGCTCTCGACAGTTTCTGTAGCGCAAGGGCTGATGCCATTGCGAACTGTGGAGGGCCAATCTGTGAAAGTACTTCAGGATGTGGCTCGACCCTCACCAAGAGAAGCCTCTTCGGACTTGGTGGAGAAGACAGAGCTGGGCGCATCATGGCGCGTGTGACAGAGGCACGGAGTAAGTGGCATGAGGCTCGGGGCTCGAGAACATGTAGCCGTCCTTCTTGCGATGGCGCCGCCTAAAGTACGGGTCAAATATCAAGAAATCTAATATTCTGATTTCTTGCCCGGACGTGGTTTATACATCGTCGAGGAGAGGAGGGAAGCGCAGGTACACGATTTTGCCAAGGGTTAATGTTTTATAACGAACTATTACTATAGCAATATAATCTGAAGCACTCTGAGCTGGGAGAAAGAGCGGGGTTCCAATCTCTTCCAGTCAATGGCAGTGTGTCGGAACATATATAGTCACGATCCTCAGATCGCACAAGTATTACGAGGTTCAAGGCTGAGCCGAAGTTGAACCGACATTCTAAGGAGACCAGGGAGAGACGGTTCGCTCTCCGTCACGGCAATAGAGAACTACAATAAAACACCCACAAGAAAAACACTACTCCACGGCACAGGTAGCATGACTACACCGTTGAAGCAACATGTCAGAGCCACAAATGTCTATAGCAAAGAAGTACAAGGTCGCGGAACCGGCATTTTTGCGGCACATGATATCGCACCGAAATCCGAGGTCATGTTCGTCGCTCGGCCGTTGATGGTGGCGCTGGAGACTCGACATTTGCAGAGTCGTTGCTATTATTGCTACAGCTCTCCCGGGGATCCTAGCCAATCTCCCAGAAATCCTGGGGTTCAGGCGTTGAAGACGTGCAGTGGTTGCAAGGTGGTCAAATTCTGTGATCAGGTAGGTTTGTTTGTGTGAGGGCTGCCTCCTACACCGGGTTGATTTTCCCAAGGGGGAGAAGTGCCTAGTGATGAAGGAGTCCATCTCTGATATTCTCGAGTGCAGAAATGCCAGACTCGGGCTTGGTCAGAGTATCATCGTCTAGAGTGTAAGCTCTACGGCAGACTACACCCTCGGATCCTCCCCAGCACGGCCAGAGCCCTCATTCGACTCCTGAAGCAGCACAAGGCACACCTCCTCCCCCACGGTGAATGGGATCAGCTCCTGGCGCTGGAGACCCATCGTGAGGACCTCATCAAGGCTGAGGACCAGCGGTTCCAAGACAGCTTCATCATGATGAAGGGCGTCAAATCCTATTGTGGCACCGACCACGACGAGGAGACGATATTTCGAATTGCTTGTGTGGTGAGCACATGTTCCTCCAGGAAAAGAACGAAAAGACTGACATCCCCTCAAAGCTGCTCATTAACTCTTTCACTCTCACCACTCCGACATTCGACTCTGTGGGATTGATCCTCCATCCCAAGCCGGCTCTTCTAAACCACTCTTGTGACCCAAATGCGTTTGTGAGATTTGATATTCCCCCAGAGACCAGTCATGAAGACTTTCCATCTTACGGGAGCATATCTGTTCGTGCCTTGAGGCCGATCGCCAGAGACGAGGAAGTGACGCTTTCATACATTGACACAACATTCCCGTTCGAGAAACGACAAGAGGAATTACGCACTCGGTATTTCTTCACCTGCAGTTGTAGCTTGTGCTCTCAGGGTCGGGATTGTCCTAGAGACAGATTCCACCTGGATATACCTGTTGGGGCAACGGATACAACGCAGCCGGCGATGAATGCCATTATTACCGAAGTTGGTGACGAGGCAGAGCAGTTTCTCACGGGCTTACAATCCCAATCAGGGGAGGAGCACACCCAGATCGACAGCATCAGACACATCATGCGTCGCCTGGCACGGACCAGGAGCTGGCCACTGCATCGATACCCTTGGCCCCAGTTGCGCCAGCAGCTACTCCTCGGGCTGATCGCTTCGCAAAAGTATTCCGAGGCCCTGCTCCACTCGGCAGTCCTCGCCAGACTGATCCATCCTGTCATGTTCGAACAAGAACATCACCCCATTCGAGTGGTGCAGCTGTGGCAATTCTGGAACCTGTGCCGCCAATGTCTGGAGTCTCTCATGCTGCGCGAGCGGTCGCCGGACGCCGTTCAGTATGAACCGCGGAGGCTTGGACTGTTGAGCTGCGCGCTGATCGACGACATTTATAGAATCATGAACGACGGGATTAGGTCGGACGGAAAACTGGAAATTCTAGTCGACGCCGCGCTTCAGAATGTTAAGGGAGAAGGTGGGTTTTGGGGCGAATACCAGCAAAAGAAGACGGAGACACGCCAAAAGACCCTTTTATGGGTTGACGAGCAAGTCAAAGCGTTGTTACAGTCGGAAGATGTCACTCAAGATATTATTGAGCTGGCTTTTACGAGTTCAAGTACTCGGTAGTACATACATAGAGGATGACAAGGCTGGATCGCAAGGCTGAGCCGATGATTGTTTGGCCCCCAAGCACGAGGATTCGGGGCAGTGCAACTGAAACACCCCCGTGCTCCCCCTAGAAGCGATCGACACAGAGCTCGGACAGCTCCATCCCGTCGCTGATCAATGCTGGTGCCTGACAGAAGCCATACATATGCGACATATTACCTCGCTTGACACATGAACCTCCAGTTACTCCCCTCGTGCTCCTGTTGTTCCAAACCTTAAGACCACCACGGTTGTCGTGATTGATATCCCGCAACTGTATACCGAGTAGAGCTTTGACTATTGTGTATGTGTGTATGTATATGTGAACAAAACCTCAGAAGATGGACTTCTCCAACGCCCAGGAAGCCGCCGAGTCCGTGTCTGGCGCGTTCTTCCGCAATGCCACGGCGGCACGCGTGGACACGGACGCCGTCATTTTCGACACCGTCTCCAACGCGCACCCGGGCGTGCCCATCACCACGGTGCCGGAATGGAGCTGTAACCTGAGAGCCTACGCCGCGGCGGGCCACGCGACGGTCGAGGCGCTCGAGCAGAGCCGGATCGACCCCAAGATCTGGCCGGAGTCGCTGCGCTGGACCATCTTCATCCCGCCGGCGCGGCGCATGGACGGCGGCAGCGGCGTCGTCGCCGACGAAGTCTTTTTCGAAAGCTACCTCTACAAGTGGGACGGGCTGACTTTCCTCGTCTACTTCGCCGACGGGCGCGACGGGACCATGTCCTACCCGCAGGTCCGCAACCAGTATATTCTGGGCGACAAGGCCGCGGCGCGGACCCTGGTCGCTACCATCGGCCGGTGGCAGTCGGTGCTACACGACGAGGTCTGGGTCTTCAACCAGGGCTACTGGCGCAAGGATCCCCTTTTGTACCGCAGCATCCTGAAGTCGCGCTGGGAGGACGTCATCCTCGACCGCGAGTTCAAACGGGACCTGGTCGACACGGTGCAGCGCTTCTTCGACTCGCGCGAGGAGTACACCCACTTGGGCGTGCCCTGGAAACGTGGCGTCATCTTCTACGGACCGCCCGGGAATGGCAAGACCATCTCGATCAAGGCCACCATGCACACGCTGTACAGCCGCGAGCCGGCCGTGCCGACGCTGTATGTCAAGTCGCTGGTGGGCTTCGCCCCGCCAGAGTACAGCATCGAGGCCATCTTCCAAAAGGCCCGGCAGGAAGCCCCCTGCTACCTGGTCTTCGAGGACCTCGACAGCCTCGTCACCGACCAGGTGCGTAGCTTCTTCCTCAACGCCGTCGACGGCCTCTCCCAGAACGACGGCATCTTCATGGTCGGCAGCACGAACCACCTCGACCGCCTGGACCCGGGCATCGCCAAGCGTCCCTCCCGCTTCGACAGGAAGTATCTCTTCGACAACCCCAACCTGGCCCAGCGCGTCAAGTACTGCCACTTTTGGCAGAAGAAGCTGCGCGACAACAAGGACCTCGAGTTCCCCGACGAGATTTGCACCGCAGCCGCGAAGATCACCGCCGACTTTTCCTTTGCGTACATCCAGGAGGCGTTTATATCGGCTCTCTTGGAGATTGCGCGCGAGAAAGACGGCGATGATCACTCGGGAGAGGACGGGGTGGTGGTATCTTCATCATCTGCAAGGGACGATGCGTTGGCAGAGGACCTGCGGGAGCAGTGGGAGCTGTTGGACATTGGCGGCAAAGGCCCCCGCGACGACATATCGCCCACCAAAGATTTGGATGACTATATCCTGTGGAGAAAGTTGAAGCATCAGATTGACCTGTTGAGGAAGCAGATTTCAAAGAAAGCACCCGCCGGCGCCGGTGAGGAGTGAAAAAAAAAAAAGCAACGAATGTGGGATGAACAACCACCTCTCTATACATGATACAGACACACATGAGCCAGCACGTTCGATTGCCCTCAAAAATCAGTCTTTCCCCATCACTGGAGACATGGTGCAGAGCACGGAAGTGTGATGAGGGTCTCTCGAGAAAGAACACCAGCTTGTTTGCGCTGCTTGATTGTATTCCCTCCATCTCCTAAAAACTTTGCAGGTTGAGGCAAGTCAAAAAAATTTGTGGACAAAGAATGGGTTGGAAGTGAATAGCAATGGAATGGATGGTTTCACGGGTCTGATTTGGACACTCGTTGTAGGGGCTTTGCAGCCTAGTTGACATGCTTATGCAGAGGATGGAGGCATGGCTGCAAAGAATATCGTCGGTATAGGGTTCTTATATTGGTTCTGTTTTTATGCAGATGACCCGAGAGTCCTCCCAACCATTCTCAGTGTCCAGATGAGCGGGCTGTCACGAATAGGCTTTCTTTTCACTGCGATTTTGCCCTTGCCCCGTTCATCAAGGAGTGCGCAGCCGCATAGTATCAAATTAACGCAGTCAGACGTGCACAATGCTCACAGTCGTGCCATGTTCAATATGTCTGGGGCCTGGTCCAAGATGAAATTTCGGCTCTCTTGACCAACCATTCCGCCAACCCGCTTGCGCAGCACAAACGTTTCGCTACAGCTCTTGCACAGCCATTTTTCAGGGGTCCGGCCTCATTGCTCGTCTTCTCCTAGGTCCTGTCTTTGCTTCGCCTGGTGGAACTGGACCACGTTCATGTGCAACAGCAGGTTGCCTTAAACTGGGGAGGATAGGCTGAGGGAAAGGGGTGCTCGCTCCTGACCCAAGACCAATATCATGCGACAGGTGCGAGGACAGAGAGAGCAAATGTTGGTTCTCAATCTGCAACTGGTCATTTAGCACTACAATAGCATCACAAAAGTAAGTAACGGAACCAGTAAAGGTATGCTGTTAACAGTCCTCTTGAATACACCAGTTCATTATTGAAAGAGTGATCTCTGCGACCCGCGGACAGGGCTGGTGTAGGTGCAGGTGTAGTATACGAGGCGTGAGAGAATATTTGAGTATAGTCGACAAGCGTATACTGATGCTATATCTTGTAGACGTAGAGTGGACGACAATCAGTAATAGCAACTACCGCAGATGAGACTTGGAGTGACTGGGTTGGAAAGTGCGTTTCGTGGAAAATGCTCGGCCGTGACTACGGAGAATCATAGACGCAGAAGCCCCTGCGGGTTTCCAAACATCTCAAGAATCGGGTATTGGTGGTTCTTCCAATCACGCCTTCGCGACCTTCGTTCAACAAAATCCGCTGTCGCACCGTCTGGTCAAAACATCATTTTCTGGTTCATCCTTCGGTTAATATTTGTAGTCTCGCATGATGTTGTCTGCTCCGTCGGCAACAATTTCAGCTGAGACGCGTGCGACGCAAAATGGATGAAATGGCGCCGACTTCGAGAAAGTCCAAAACCACTTGTATGCAATGTCGTGCTCGGAAGGTAAGCGGAGGACGGATCGCCCCAGGAGATGTGGATTTTTGACCTTCAGCGACTGAACTCATGCGACAGGTGCGTTGTGATGGGCGTCCTAACTGTTGTCGCAATTGCGAGCGCCTCAGGTTTGATTGTTCATTTCAACCAAGGGAGGCTGGTGTTGCGGGCGATTCGCCGTCAGGCGACCAATCACTGGTTCAGCTAGAGCGACGACGCGGGATTCGCGCTTGCACAGAATGTCGTTCTCAGAAAATCCGATGCGGTGGAGAATCTCCTGCTTGTTCCAATTGTCTTCGAAGGAATCGACCTTGCGTCTATCCTGCACTCAAGAGGCCGCATCGGACGCCACAGACCTCTAGTTTGCCATCACCTGCCGTGTCGCAGCGTCCCGATAATCAGCTGCAATTCCCATCTCAGCTGGATACGCGGTCCACTGAAGCTGGCCACACTCCTCTATCAAACGATGGCGCGCTTCCAGACCGCCAGGAAATCATATCGTTGGTCGAGGCTTATTTCCAGCACATATATGCCCTTCCCTGGTATGCATTCTTGCACAAACGATCGGTAATGCAAAGATGCCACGAAGGAACGATTGAAGACTGTTTGGCATTTGCAATCTGTGCCGTAACGAGTCAGCGTCTCAAGATTGAGCCGTACGCTCGGGAAATAAGTGCCCAATGGGCCCAGAAGGCCGAAGACTTTCTCCTACAAAACTTGGAAAGCCCTTCCACTTCTCGACTCCAGGCTCTCATCTTGATTGTCCGGTATAGGGTGGAGGTAGGTCACTTCTCAAGGGCATTTATGCTTGCTGCACTAGCGGGGCGATCGGCCGTTGCGCTCAGACTGAACTACGAGCGTCCTGAACTGCGTTTCCTGGCCCAAGAAGTGCGGCGGCGACTGATGTGGTCATGTTTCGCCCTCGATGGCAACTTCTCCGTCGGTCTACGAGAATTCGAGACATGTCCACCAGAGAACGTCTTCCTCCAACTTCCATGTCCAGAAACGGCTTTCGAGCAAGATGCCCCAGTGGAAACAGCCCCGTTGAGGGCAACATCTTTCGACAGACCCGAACGCATCGGGACCTATGCTGCATGTATCAGGCTGGCGGCTATAAGAACAGACATTATGAGGTAGATTGTCAGCTGTCAGATTTCCGTTCTATGCTGACTGATACAGACTGACGCGCCGGCTTGCATCGTCATTAGTCCCCCCAGAAGAGCTCATGCACACAGTTCGGCGGTTTGAAGACGAGCTGCAGCACTTATACCGAAGCCTTGCCGACTCCGATCGCTACAACCCCAAGATCTTCTCCTACTGCGAACGACCCGCCCGAATCCTCATGGTGCACGAATGTTGGCACCAAGCATACACCGATCTGTATCGAATATTTTTGACCGGCTATAGAGAGGCCGCTCCCCCTTCGGCTATGGAAGGCATCAATCGTGAAGACATCCTCCGCAGGCGGACTCTGTGTCTGAATCACGCTTTATCAATTGTTCAGATCTTTGCAGCATTTTCAGAGCAATGTAAAGTTCTGACCATCGACTTTGACACCGCAATCTGCGCGTACCATAGCGCTCGAATTATCCTTTTTAGCGCTCAAACAGACGTTGTCACGCAAAGTCTGAGTATGCCAGCGGCTTTGGAGAAGGCCCGCTTCTGCCAATCTATCATGAACAGGTTTTTCCGTACCTCTCCTGTAGTCGAGCCGATGAAGAAAGAACTCGAGATGCTCATCGCCCGCCATTCGTCTCAGAACACCAGCACTGGCATACAACTACCGCACCCCGAAGAAGTACTGGAGGACCATCTGTCAAGGCTTGCAGATGAAGCCAGGACCAGACAACGCCTGGCAATCCATAGTCTGATAGGCCGAGCAGACTTTGTTGACGACAGCAATGAGGTGACCAGTCCCGCACCCCCTCGGGACAATAATTCCAACGGCATTTCCACCGCCTCCCTAAGATCGCAACGCCAGCGTCCGCCGAGAAATACTATGACCGTCAAGCCCAACCCTCAAATCCTTCGCTCTCAGAGTGTCCCTGGCGTGCCCCAGACAGGACAATCCAAACAGCCGGATCGTGTCATCGAAGGTGGAAGCGGGGAGCCAACAAACTATGCCCTCGAAGACCAGGGCCAATGGCTGGACGGCATGCGCCTCGCCTTCAATCCGTGGATGGGATGGCCCGAGACATTGGAAACATATGGATTTTCTCAAGATTTAGACGACGAATACTTCTAGCCAATATTTTTACCCAGATCTAATTCCACGACAAACGACGCCGGCTTGCTCATCATGTCATTCAGATCAACCTGCGCCTCCGCTAACATGAACGTGAACACATGTTCTTGCATGGCTATCAGCTCGATGCAAAGTCATAGCAACTTTATGACACTCAGACGATGCTTCTGGACTCTTGTGGCTTCTCTGCTTTGTTGAGCAAGAACATAAATGTCACTATGAGTTTACCGATTGCTGAAAACAAAACCGAGGTCGCTGGACCAAGACTCTGATATATGCCTGCGCCAAAGAAAGCCCCGGCCACAATGGCCACCAGAAAACTCGCTCGACGGTTCCGAGGGCGATTCTTTGCTGTAAGCAGACGAGGGTCGATTAGCAGATCAATCCACGCGGCCGTCGCCATTGCTGTGGTGATTTCCGTGATCGCCAATGCTCTTGATATGACGACCTGACTCCCGGCCGCGAAGGCCAGGAGGCCGATAATCACCATGGTTTTGGTGCCTTCCAGCTCAATACCATAGGTGTATTGAATTGCAGCCGCGATGAAGACAAGTATAGTCTGGATCAAATTGCAAAATACGATCCAAAGACGAGACCGTGCCCCAATGATGTGACCCAGTTGACCAGTTAGCCACCCTGCGGCCAGAAAAAAACCCAAAGCAATCCCAATGTTTTCTGTGATGAACAGTTCGCCAGCCACGTCCGGAAGGAGGATGGCCATTGCTAGCATGACTGTGTTGCCCGTCTGGTTCGAAGCAAAGCAATGGTAGTCTGGGAAGGTCGTCGCGTCTTGCATTCCGGTACAGAAAGTGAGGATTAGGAGTTCCGTCTCGGCAAGAATGTTGACTTCGATGTGGCTTGTCAGATGTCGTTTCAAGCGCCTCACGGCTGATTTTTGTTGCGGTTCCTTGACTGCGAGGTTGACCTGCGCGGCACGGTCCTGCTCTTTCGCCTCGCTCGAGACGCTACCATTTTGGTTCATGGAAGCCATTGCTGGGAATTAGCAAGCTAAGCAGGTGGCTAGGGGGGAGATCAACAACTTGTGAATCAGGTCTTCAAAGGGTTGCCGGCAACAACAGCAACAGCAGAAGCAGAAGATGAAAGAGTTTGTTTCTCAAAAGCAGACAAAGAACCCGAACCCGCCAGTATTTGTGGAAACCACACACCGGTATTCCAAACACTCGGAATACCACCTTGCTGGCTCGCCCCTCCTTACGTTGCCATCGCCCCGTCATCCTGCGATGCTTCGGGTGTCCGAGTCGGAACGTATATGTGACCAGGATACTGTCATTTACACTACAATTACACATCGAGCATGAGACGATACAAGAGCCTTGCGCTGTGGACGAATCGCATACACGTCCGACTTCCGTCCCGAGAAGCGGCATTGCTACAGATACCTCGATTGTCGGACTACACAGTTGTTAGCAAGTCACCCAGCGCCCGTCCGACTCCCGGATTGTCCACCGATTGCCGTAACCTTACTTCCGATTGACCTCATTTCTACAAGAATCGTGGTTCGACTGTACCGAGTACTCATGGTCGGATCGCCGGATGTTTGGAGCATTCATGAGGGCCTGTTTCTCGATCGCCATACCTTGGCATTCAACTCAGCAGAGACAATTTTGGAGTAAAAGAAACAATAGTTGTCGGCCACAGTCTCAACGCCCATCAAAGAAAAGCAAATACCATCAGCGGCGATGGCACGATATCAGCACCCCCAGTCGAGGTGGTTTTACAAGACACAACTCAGGCAAGGACTGTAGTCGAGTCCAGTCTGGAGCATTGACCGCCCATTCAAGTGTGCAAGTCCATCTGCGACATTCCCACTGCCGAGAGAAACTTGGGCGACTCACTTACTGGCTCCACGTACCATAATTCTTCACTTCAACGTAATGGATGGTTCGGATGTGCTTCCGGATTTCCTTGACCGGATCATCAGGCTGCTTGCTAAACAGTGAAACACCAATCTGTTCGCAGGGCTAGCATTGCATGAGTAACCGCAATTCCTGTCTCGGAAGCAGAACGAATGCATCCTAGAAGACACAGAACGGCATAAAGCCGATGTAGAGAAGCGTTCCCCTCACCCTTGTCTTGCTGAGGTGGACCAGAAGTCCACGGTCGCAGCTCCATTCCTGCAGGAAGGTTAGGGCGGTGCTTCAGCCCAATCTTCTTGGACCACTGAGACGTTGAAGAAGGCAAAACTTCTGAGAATGTCTGAACCAGGCCAAGATCTTACGGACTACAACCTTTGAAGTGCCTCTGCAGGATAACGTTCTACAGGGAAGAGTTGGTTATCGTGGTTTCTTGAAGCCTTAGACGTCGACTCGCATTCAGAATTGCTCGCCACGTGGTCAGGAACCTGATGGCTTCGTGAACATACACACATACACACACCGGGTTTTGTGTCTCAAAAAGACTGCTGAATGGACCCGGTCGGAGCATTCTGGAATTCCCAGCATTCGGTCTTCTTCCTGGAGCAGAGCCCCCTTCTAAGCATAGAACTCGGCTCTCGGGGTTTCTGTGTCGGCTGTCGCTGTGACCGGCTGGACGGATTACGGTGGACACAACAACCTCTTACGAGTAATTCGCCGTTGGAAACCAAGAAAAATTGGCGATGTCGTACCCACTCAACACTCCAGACGTGAGCAATGACAGGACTGAGTCATTTGACGCGCGGGCTTTTCATCGAGGTCCAAAGGCTGCATCCCAAAGGGGGTGGGACTTTTCTCCCTGATATGGTACCCCGTCGACCCCTAGCCTTCGTCATTCCCCGAGTGCCCGCCACCAGTCGCCGCGAAGCGTGGCAAACCAGCCTCGATCCAACATGCCCTCGTTTTGACGGTGTAATGACAAGTGGAAACCTAGGCGTCACGGCACCGGAGTTCCCTTGGCCAACAAGCCATGTTGGGCCGACCAAGACCGACAACTGTGGGCGATTATTGCCTTTGAACAAACGTCGCGTGAGCAACAACGAAAAAGGTCCTTCGGCGTCCACTTTGAGACCAAGACTTTTTGTACGCTCTCTCCCTTCTTGCCCATGTTGGGAGACGTTTGCCTCCACGCACGGGGAATCAATCGATTTGTCTTGGGTTTTTGCAAAATCTGGCATGCTTGTTGCCGCTGAGCCAGGATGGTTTTTTCTTTCTTTCTGCCTGCTTACGTTTTGTTTTGTTTTGTTCGTGGTTAGACCCCGGAGCCCAGATCCTCTCACTTCGCCCCCCTCCCTCTTCTTTCACGGAGTGGTACTATGAGCACAAACACATACAAGTACATACATACACACACGCACACACGCAAACACACACATATGTATATAGCGAATGTTGTGCCCTTTTTTTTTGCCTTGTATCTTTTTGGTGGATGTCGTACAAAACAAAGCTCCGCATGACGAGGGATCAGGCTCACAACTCAGGGGAAAGAGAGGGGAGATAAGAAAGGAAGAACAGGACTTAATTCAGCGCTATTTTGGTGCGTTATATGCTCAAACTGGGAGTGTATATTGCTGGGAACTTGAGACTCCCGACATTATTTCATCCAACCTGACACGGTACGGGTACGGGTACAAGTATGATGAGCGTGGTGGCGTTAACGGTGCGTACATACTACTTTAGTGGACATTTAGCTTGACATACCCAGTTGGTATCCGAATGGTTGAGCCAGGAGAGATGGAAAGGAAATAGGTGGACATTGAATCATCGTACATACAAAGTCTGTTCTCTCGCCGGGGAATCAATCACATATGTTTCGTTCATTCTGTATATTTGCACATTCCCTGTGCACGTGCCAGAGAGGGTCAATGAAGCGACTTGAATTCGGGTTTGGTGTGCGTGTCACTCATCTCCATGCCCTTGTTGGTCATCATTGCGATGCCGCGCTTGTGCTGCTGCAACTGTCTAATGCCCTCTTCTACGGAATCCTCAACCACGTAGCGCGTAACATGCACGGCTTTTCGCTGGCCAATGCGGATGGTGCGGCCGATAGCCTGGGCTTCGACGCTGGGGTTCCATTGCGGCTCGACAAGGAAGACACGGCTTGCGGCAACGATGTTCAGGCCGAAGGCACCCACGCCCGTGGTCATGATCAGCACGGGGATGTACGGGTCGGTCTGAAAGCGATTGAGCATGTTCTGGCGGTGCTTGAATGAGTGCTCGCCATCGACCCGCTCGAATGGGATCCCCCACCATTGCAGGTATCGGCCGACCAGGTCCAGCGTCGTTGTCCAGCACGAGAAGACGATGCTCTTGTCGCCCGCAGCTGCAGCACTTCTTAGGTCCTTGGTCAGAGCAATCATCTTAGAAGAGAGTCCTGTGGAGCGGAGGTTGCCTTGGTGCGGCTGGGACTGGGAGATCTCTCCCGCCGCGGGTTGTTGATAACCAAGAGGTCGAAGCGTCGCCTCGCACACTGGACAATTGTCACCTGTGCCTTCTTTGCACTCAGAGCACAGTACATGTGCACAGACATTGGACAGGCTGGAAGCCCGGTTCGAGAGGACAGCGTATACTGTTTGTTCGCACGCTGAACACTTGACCTCGCCGTTGTCGCCTGCAGAGCTCAGAGCATCTTCTCGAGCATCCCGGATGTTCCTGCTTTTAAGCCAATGGAACTGATGTTGGAAAGTCCCATGATTGCAGAGAAGGCGTAGTTGCAGCTGGATTTGAAACAAGCTGAATCTGGTTCGGCTCTCGGGCACCCCGACGAGCTGCTGCAATGTCCGCTTCATGTCCTCTCTTGTTTTTTTATACTGTGCTCGCTCTTCAGGGGATAACTGAATTCTGCTGATCGTCTCTATGGGCATAGCCAGATTCAGATGATCCTTGGGACGTCTGATGCCGACCGAGTCGAAGAGTTGGACAAGATTCCGTTGGCCCTGCTGGCGCTGAATCCCCCCTTCGTGCCATGGGACCGTGATGAATTTGCGGAAGACTCCCGGTCTATCGAATGGGAATATCTTGATGAAGGCGAAGAGGGAGCCAATATCATCTAAAGTGTTTTGTATAGGCGTGCCCGTCACACACCAGCGAAACTTTGCGTCAAGTTCGGCGACTCCCTTGTGTAGAAAAGTGGTATTTCTCCGAATGAAGTGTGCCTCGTCCAAAACGATGCGGTACCAAGTCACCTCTGTGGCAGGATTCGTTCGGCGATTGTCCGCGACGATTGTATGGTAAGTTGTCAAGACAATGTCATGGTCGGCCACGACTCGAGGATCGCAGGTTCTCGCACTGCCGTGATATTTCAGGACTTTCAATGGCAAATTGACGCGTTTGTGAATCTCTTCTTCCCAAGAAGCCAGCAACAGCGGAGATGGCACAACGACCAACGTCGCCCTCGAAAGGATTTTGGTCGGGATGATCTCTTCTTCGATGTGGACGTCCGGGTCGTTGGACCATTTTCTTGCCTCACCCAGCGTCCGAACTATCAGTGCTAGAATCGAATAGGTCTTGCCCATGCCCATTTCATCGGCCAAAATACCGCCACCAGCTTCCACTGGCTCTGTCCGAGATTTCATGCCTGTAATTTTGTGCCGATACCTGTGCTCTGACTCAGCCCACGTAGCTTCCCATAGCTGAAATTCTTCTGGAATGGGGCCTGTCTCTCGTTGAATCATAAAGTCTAGAGCCTTTTCCTGGTGCTCTAGAAGTGGGGTGAGAAGGTGGGCATCACCGGCTAAGCCTTGGAGGTGCAAATTACGCGTCAGCATCGAGTACATCTGTTCGACCGAATCATGAAAGTCCGAGGCTCTAAGGCTGTGTTCAAACTGGTAGGGAATATCCAGCTCACTTTGCTGGTGAGTGCCGAACTTCAAGACGTGCGGATTGTCGTATGTCGAGCCCGGGCTCAGCCAGTCAGGTCGTTGTAGCCATATCTTTTTCGCAGAAAAGTCACTACCAATAGAGCTTTGTAACTCTTCAGTCCCATATACGTTGATGTTGATGGTTGTAAGCGCGTCTCTCGCTCTTGTGGCGGCCCCGATATCTCTGAATGAGTCAGTCCTGTCGCGCACATTTGAGGCACAGCACGAAGACAGCGATGCCAAAATAGCTCGAGGATGGGAAATGGAGGTAGTCAAGAAAGAAAGCCGTTGCCACTCAGTTACAAGACTACAGGATACATTTCAGATGCACTTGTATGGATGACTTACTCGAGTATCGTCCTTCGGTGGGCCAGGGCCTCAAGATGGATCTTTCGGGCTTTGACGTGGCCCGCCAATGCCTCAGTCAAGTGGAGGTTGAGTCTTGCAATTCGCATACCACCTGGGATGCAGATGAAAAGCTCATCATCAATGCACACGATTTCCAGGATAAAATGCGTCCGAGCCTGAGTCGCATTCTCCCTTAGACATCGTGATACTTCAGACATGTTCCCTTGAAGCTGAGCATTTGCGCGGTAAATCTGCATGCAGAAATATCAGCCGCAGGCGTTGAGAGGGAGTCCTCCTCGGGCATTAGAGAGGTGATGTGTGGAGCGCAGGCAATCACTGACCATGCCATAGCATCGATTGAAACCATCTTGTAGGGGACCGACGGCGTCTCCTCGGTCTATGCGCAACTCATCCGCATCCTCAAAGGGAGCAATCCCCAGATCCTTTGCGACCCAAGATTCGATATCGTCCTGCACGTCGTGGATAGCCGGAAAGATGTTATTTGTGTTGCTTCCTTCGACGTTGTCAACGTTGTAATCGGGGTGGCCGGGATTGCCAATAAGATCGTTCCAGACATGGTTCCAGTGACCAACACCAACATCAAGAGGTAATTCGGAGCCCCCATCAAGGCATTGCGAGTGCTGTGAGGAATGCGGCGGTAATGAGAAGGGCATGAAGGGGTCGAGGGAATCTCCTGTACGCTTGAATGATGTCATGATGTAGGATCCGCAGTGAGTGTCTTGGATGGAACTTTTCGCGGACTATCGTAGTAACAGTTGTTGGTATTAGTATCATTGTCTCTTGAGTGCTGGTACACACGATCCAAAACCTCCATACGACAAAAAAGCCAGTCATATCAGCCCAGAGAGAAAGCCTCGAGGATGCCACGCTGCTGCCCAAGTCAGCCTCATAGAAGGCATCCGTACTCCGCCTCCTGTAAGCTAGTCTGCTTCCTGCGCCCCGCGCCTGCGCCTGCACATGCCTCACTCTCAACCCTTGACCTGATCGTGCCACCTGTCCAGTATGCTCTAAAATTATGGAAACTCCCTCCGAGAATGTCCTGATGCTGCCCCAACTGTGATCGACGGAGCGATCTTCCGAAGCTTGAAGCGTCCTGAGGACATGCTCCATTTGATAGCGACGGATTCGGGGTATTGACGAGAAAAACGAACCATCATCGGTTGACTTGGTCAATGACCTTGTTTCCTATGTGCCGCTGATGTGCAATGGCTGCAACAACACAAAGCTCCTCAACTGCTCCTCATGCTTTCCAAGTCGAGCTGACAAAGTTCAAAAGTCGTTTGACAGGGAAGCAGTTGCAAAACTTCCGGTGCACATCTCTGAAGGACGTCGAGGATGCGGTCAATGAAATTCAGAGACGTCAAGATACAGAGCGAGGACTACGTAACTTGACTCGAATTCGGCGCTTCATAGAGGCGATGGAGCAGTTTGGAAAGATCATCGAAGTCTTCGTCAATACTAATGATGTCCTTGCCTTTGTTTGGGGACCCTTGAAGTTCCTCCTCCTTGTCTCGAGCACCTCAGCGGAATGCCTCGACAAGATTTTGGATGCCTACGAGCAAATCGGTGAATTATTACCCCTGCTCCAGCAGTACGAGTCGCTTTTTCAACAGCACCCAGAGATGCAAAAGGTTCTTGCCATGATGTACAAGGACATTCTTGAATTTCATCTGCCCGCAATTCGTGTCCTCGACCGGTCAGGTGAGCAATAGTGCGCAGTCACCGTTTCTCTTTTACTGACTTTCCTCGAGGTTGGAAGCATCTTTTTCGATCTGCATGGGGTGACTTCAATACAAAGTTTGAAGGAATTCTCCGGAATCTCAATCGGCATGGACAATTGATTGCATCACAATTCAACCTGCTCCAGGCTCGTCAACACGAAGCACACCAAACAGAGGTACTCAGGGCAATCCTGGATGTCGAGCAGGAGGTGCGCCTCGCACGAGAATTAATTGAAAAGGAACAAAAAATCCGTAAACAGGAGCAGTTATCTGCAATACGAGTCTGGATAGGGGGAAATACCACTTGCGACTCGCATGAGTCAGCTATAAAAGCCCGCGAAGGGTATGCTCAGACGGGATTGTGGATCACACAGAAGGAAAAGATTTCCAGCTGGCTCGCAGACGACCTTCCCCGGTCCTCAATACTATGGATGCACGGCATTCCAGGCGCAGGTAAAGAAGGTACCGCTCCGAATGACATTTCACTGAATTGGTTTAGGGAAAACGATATTGGCGTCGATCATCATTCAAGCTTGCCTTGAAGCTTGCGTGAGTCATAATCAACACAGAGCAGCGTACTTTTATTGCAGACGTGATGACGTGACAACAACCACTTGTGTTGGGATTTTGAAAGGTCTTCTCGCTCAACAATTGTATTGGTATAGGGGTGATGATGTCGGATCTGATCTCACACCTGATCTCGTACCCTTTTTTGATGAGGAAAGGCGGAAAAGCTGTGAACCTGTCCTGTCTTCTGATCAGATCACAAAGAAGTTGTTCAAAACCGTCTCTGGAGAGGGCCAGCGCCAGTACATAGTCGTTGATGGTTTGGACGAATGCCGACAAGAGGAACGGAGGTCGCTACTCCCGTTTCTTACCTCTTTGGTCAAAGGAGTTGATGATCGAGAGCCGTCAAAGCTACGTGTTCTCATAATCAGTCAAGAAGATCCCGATATTAGAGGATTATTATCCTCTGCGGAGGAGTTTGCTATCACACGCGATGACAACAGCCAGGACATTCGTGCCTTTGTGCAAGCATGGACAGTGAAGATCCAGGAGAAGTTTGGACTTGGCAACCAAGCATCGTCCCTGTTGGCTCAGCACACATGCGGTAATGCAGCTGGTATGCGTACTCTGTTTCCGAAGGCGTGGACTTGCTAATTTCCTAAAGGTCAGTTCTTGTTTGCCAAACTGGTCATGGAAAACCTCCATCAGCAACTCGACCTTCGCGGCCTTCAGCGTGAACTTGAAACCGAGCGTTTCCCAAAGGAGTTGGCAGAAGCGTGAGTATCGTTGGTTCCACTTCTGTGGCCGATACCCCTGGATTGCTCGTCATTGGTTGCACCTATCTATACACTGTGTGAATGTTTTGTGTCTGCGCTGACGTTGGAACTCTTGGTAGGTATGATCGAATTATTGAACGCATCAAGCAACGGCATGGAGGGGTTGCACAATCATGGCGCAGAATACAAGAATTTTTAGGGTGGATGATTTGTGCCACTCGACCGCTCAAGTGGCATGAAATTCAGGGTGCAATGTCGATATGTCTTGACGAACAGCAAGTAGACCTTTGGACATGTCAGTTGCGGGTAACCGCCCGCGAATTGTGCGCACCTTTGGTGACGGTGAGCGGAGGCCGTGTAGTTCTCGTGCATGGCACGGCCAAGAGGTACGTACTATAGTACTGCTTAGCTTTTGGGGATAAACTAATCCTCGTCAAGATATATTATGCAGTCAGGTCACATCGATCTTCTGGCTATGGAATGCAGGCTGGCGAGCTCATGCTTGGGATACCTCGCTTACCCTTTGTTTGACGGAGCTGTTCTGGAGGAAGACGTACTCGACGGATCGTATGCCTTTGCGGACTATGCAGTTGCGAGATGGATGAACCATTTCGATACGATACTCGTTCAGTTGGGGGCAGTGACTGACATCCAATTCAATACACACCAGACTGAGGTGCAAGAGCTCTGGGAAGCAGCGGAGAGCATGCTACGAGCCATACGGGAGGGTGGAGACGACCTTGAAATCAACCTCTCAGAGGCCAGAGCGTTGCAGCTGCAAGTCAGCCTGGGGCCTGATATCTGTCGCCGACTCATAGACTTTGAGGGCGCCGCAGATGGATTTCAGTCTCTTTGGACTCACACCGTTCTGTATCGGAGCAAGGACGCTGATAAGCGTGGCGAAATCAGTCTGGCGAGGCTTCGAAATGCGATGGGCGGCATCCGCAGGTCACTGGAAGAGTTCTTTACGAACAGAGACTTGAGTGCTGAAACTCTCGAGAGGGTAAAATCACATTACGGCACCAAGTGTTTCCGATGCCCGAAGGTCACCTGCTTCTACTTTCACGAAGGGTTTACTGACGCAGAAACACGAGAAAGACATGTTCGCAGACACGAGCGGCCATTTCAGTGTGTTGTGGTAGACTGCGATGTGTCGGACGTTGGATTTGGATCTAAGAAGGACCTTGAGAACCACATGCAGAGCTTCCATCCAAACACCGAGATCAAAGCTCAGCTCTTCAAGGAAATACAGACACCGAAACCCGGCCGTGCGAGGTTTGAGTGTGGAGAGTGCGGGAAGAGCTTTGTCCGTGCGTGGATATTGAGGGACCATCAACGAGCGCACAGAGACCAAAGGGACTACATGTGCGCCCGTTGTGGCAAGGGGTTTGTGAGGAAAAACGATTGCAAGAGACATGAGAAAAACCACGAGAACCGACCATGATATGAGGGAGAGGAGCGCCTATTCAGGGATAGGGTTATTCTTCATTTTGATGCATTAGGCCGGATTCACGATTCGCTTGAATACAAACAGATGATAATGATGCTCACCTACCAATTTGTCCGTACCTCGTTCTCTCAGGAGCCTTGATCAATAACACCGAGTGTTTACCGAGAACACTGCACGAGACAACCGTTCCAAGTGCTACTGCCTCAGTGGCAATGCACTTTTAGCGCCCCTGCTCGAGTGTGCCTGAGCCTGGGCTGGGGGACGCCTAGCACGGGGGTTCCAACTTGCTGCAACACGTGGCCCTCGCTGTGGGGGTGGTCTTTCTAACCCATTTCATGCTATTGGGTTTTTGGCATCCATGAGTGCCTGAGTGCCTATTAGTTGACGAGGCGTCTTTTATGTACAGCAGCACTGCACCATGGGGGAAAGAGTGAGAACTGGGTTCCTATAATAACTATACCATATGCTTTAATATACTTGACATTGTACTTTGTGTTTCCTTTTAGCCCTTGACTCCTAGTCATGACATAGTGTGTACCGAGTGGATATCAGATCACTCTACGAGGGAGATTGTGCAGATATGTCGGAAAAGGGCAATCAGGCTGAAGAAGTAGGGATGGAAACAAAGAGCGATCTGGAAGTTTACGCTTTGGGCACGAAAACGAAGACACATGGGATCTTAGTGGTGGCTGGCTACTGGCCATGCAGAATAAAATTGACATAGAATGTCTCAATATCTCAAATTTCCAACGAAGAGTGCAACGTAACAATTGTATTAGTTAACCTGTTCCACGCGGACATGAATGGTATCGTGCTCCAGGGGTGAGAATATGAATGGCAAGAGGTTGTTGAATACCTCTGCACACGGAAGTACCTCGGCTCTTGTGGCCTCTGCCTCGTTGTTGGGATCGGAGCGAAGGCGGACAGGAAACAAGGAAACGAGGCCACACTGGCGCATGGAGTTGTATTGACTCTCCACTGCCTTAATGACGTCTGGATTGTGTTGATCTATCTCTGTCTAACTAAGAGAGAGAGGGGAGAGGTGAGCTACATGGTATAGAAGCAGGTAGGCAGGCCATCCTAATAGGGATGGACGCTAAGCGCTAGGTGTTACGTCAGGCGGTCAACGGCCTCGAGGTTGCCTTCTATCCCTTCACTGCAAATTTAGCGTCCTAGAGCTCCTGCAAGCGAGTACGAGGTGCAGGACAGAGGCCTACCACGTCCGCAGGGTGACAGAGCCAAGACGCTAAAGCATGATGGCGGCTCGGCGAGTTGAAAAATATGTGGGGCGGCTCGTGCCGCTGTATCTGCCCCCCACAGCCACACCGAACCACCTGCGCGCTGCGCCACGCTTGATTGATCACATCACTCAACACCTTCGATTGGGCGCCGAGTCAACCAGATCTTTCCGTAGATCCTGCACTCTGACCTTCCTTGCTCTGTTCGGTGTCCAATGGACATCTCTCAACAAGAGAATGCCAATGGTTGTCTCGACCAATTCTGCGACTCGCAATTCTGCCAATTGCTGGCCGCGCTGCAATTCAACCAGGACTCCAACGCATTTGACGTCCTCGGTCAAACTCTGCGCCAGCGATTCCCCCATGTGGTTTCATCATTCTATGAGCTGGAGATAGGGTCGTTCCAAACAATTGCAGCCAGAGAGCATTGCCCGTCGTGCAGATTCAATCTCGCCATCCTCGAAAGCTGCCCTCAGCACAGAGGGCCTCCGGACACGGTATACTTTGCATCGTTTCCCAGAGGGCACTTCCGGTTCAACCTTGCCTACCACAAGCCTAATGGCCGAGTCCACTACCTGATGAGCAAGTTCGGGGAACAGATCACATTCCTCGCGAACCATTGTATCCATGTTCCCGAGGCGGGAAGACTCGTGGACCTCAAAGGTGTTGATTACCAACGCATGAAATCCTGGCTCGCACTCTGCGAGAAGCTTCACGATGTCTGCCCGTCCACAGCAAATGGGGAGAGCCGACATCGCCAGAATCTTCTCCCTCATCTCCGCGTTGTCGACGTTCAGGAAATGTGTCTAACGGACATTCCATGGGCGGAGAAGTATGTCGCCCTAAGCTATGTGTGGGGAGGGGCAAGTCCTCCTCGCCTTCTGAAAGATGAGCTGGACATGTGGAAGGTTCCCAATTCTATGCAAACTCGGGCACATACGTTTCCCCAGACCATCCGCGACTCCATGGAGGTGGTCAAGAGGCTCGGCTTGCGGTATTTCTGGTTCGACTCACTGTGCCTGTTGCAGGATGACCTCGATGACCTTCGGAAAAACATCAGCAACATGGACATGATCTATGAGAGGGCATATGTGACTCTTGTGGCTGCCAACAGTCCCAGTGCGGATGGGGGGCTGCCGGGTGTTGGAAGGCCGCGCACCCCGAACCAGATGGTACATTACATAAAGCCCGATATCAGTCTGATCAGCGTGGCGCCCCTGGACGCCCACTTGAAAACAGCGGTATGGTCGACGCGCGGTTGGACGTATGAGTATTCTTTTGATTTCCCCCCAGTGCAAGCAATCTCCTGTCTAGCCTTCTGCTAACAATCGTCGACGCAGGCTCCAGGAACAGCATCTCTCGCGCCGAACAATGAATTTTGTCAATGGCCAAGTCTATTTTCGCTGTCGGGAGCGCATCTGGTCCGAGGAGCTGTGTCGTGACACGGCGCCTCAGACCCGGAATCCCCTTGAATGGGGTACCAACTACATCGCCCTGGCACGACAAGGCATGGATGAGATGGAGTATCTCTTGGAACCATACGACTTCCTCTTCAGCGCCCTGGAGGAATTCCAAAAGCGCAAAATTACCCTGGATGGTGACGCGCTCAATGCCATGTCTGGTTTCCTCCAGCGTGTAGCCGACGCCGGCGAGACGGGCATGATCGAAGGCCTTCCCGTCAAGCTCCTCCCCGTAGCCATGATCTTTCGGAACCGTGCAGACAATCCGGCGCTGTCTTCGGACGTGCGGCGTAGGTCGGAGTTTCCGAGCTGGTCGTGGGCAGGCTGGCGGGCACCATCATTCTGGGACTATTGGAAAGAGATAGGGATCACAGAAGGCGAGGATGAGTTCCTCGACTGGCTCTCCGGTGCCAACTGGATCACCTGGTCCGCGTCCAGGCCGGGTAGTGAGCCTGAGGTGATTCATGATCCATCCACAATTAGACACCAGTTTGACATGGACGACGAAGGGAATGCGAACACAGAAGGCAAACTCAAAACCATGGAAGCACATGAAGAGATTCATCAAAGAACTCGCGCATTCGATCATGTCCCGTGGGCTGCACGAAACCCCGTGGCAATACCGTCGAATATACCATACACGCTCTTGACTTTTCAGACGGTCGTTATCCGCATGGCCATTGCTGCTCCTGCGCCAGATTCAGGTTCTTACTGCCAGTTTTCCATCCTGGACAGCACCGGGTCAATATGCGGAGAAGTCGTTCCGGACTTCCTCCCCAAGTTTGAAGCTACAAGGAGCCATGCTGTCACCGATGCTGGAGCTGACACTACATCTGACGCAGACATAGATGAAGAGCTACATGCCGGGGAAAGAACGCATTCGCCCTTTCCGAAGGATTCTCTGTCTGAGTTCCTCGTCCTCGCCGAACGCCACCACAAACCAAACCTCAACGCCGCCGCTCCCGGAGACGACGACTACGACGACGCCTTTGCGAATCTGGTGGAGAAGGTCTCCTACTGGGTCATCATGGTCGAGTACCTGCCTGAGAAGGCGGTCTATGAGCGACGAGGCATCGGTCATGTGCTGAAGGCTTCGGTGCTGGACGGGAGGACGTTTGCGCCCGGGCCTGAATGGAGGGAGATTGTGCTGGGTTGAATGAACGAGATGGAAAGAGTCTAGGTTGGTTGGCCTGGAGACAAAGTTGGGAATGAGATTGAGTTTTTGTGGAATGGAGGCCATTGTTCTGTGCTGCGCTGTGCTGTGCTGTGTGGTGGGAGGACGGTATGACAGATGGATGGGATATAGCTACTCTCTTGGGCTGCGAAACACTCGAGTAATGGCTGCGGATGCACACATTGCAAGTCAGGAGCACCTCACGTTCGACATGAACGATCTTGACGATGTTGATGAGGTTATCGAAGTAAATGAGCACGATCCACTATGGTATCGAATGATCAAGAAACGACAATTGACGACTAACGAACGATATATGATATATGGTATATGACATATGACATATGATGAATGATGAATGATGAATGATACAGCGCTACTATCCTCATTGCCTCGTCTCATGCATTCTTCAGTCGTGTACGTTCCTAGTCAACGAGAGGCATCCGACGACGAGGTTTTATGATAAAATACAAAGTAAGTAACTAAGTAATTGGTCCTGTTTCCCCCTTTTTCAAGTTTTGTCGCAGTAAGAAAGGAAAGGAAAGTCCTATACCACGATCACGATCACGACCACGACCACCATTACCATCGCCATCATATCCGTCGCCCATCATCACCAACGCCGTACCGTACCGTACCTTGCCATATAACGCCCATACCAGGCTGAGCTAAGCCATATATATGTATTTATAAAGTAGCTGGATGTATAAGAATGCCAAAGCCGTTTGTTCCTCGCATGTTTTTATTCTCTGTTCCGATCAAGTCCATGTTTTCAATCGCAATATCCAATTCTAATCCCAAGACCGGCCCCCCCAACTCCATGGCCAAATCCGACCGAACCCAACTAGAAAAGACTAATCAACCCTAACGAACAAGGACCAAGAAACTCCCACCCCCAAAAGAAAAGAAAAAAAAAAAAGATGGCGTGAGGGGGGAGGAAAGATTAGCTAGCCAGTAAACCTACTCCGCGCCCTCAGCCTCGCGCCGTAAAAGTACAGGCCGTACATGCCAAAGATGCCCACGACAGACAGGCCCGCGACGAGGGAGACGCCCCGATCGATGCCGAGGCGCGAGTACATCTGGCGCGAGAACTGGACGAAGGCGGCAGCCAGCAGCGAGCGGGCGCAGTCGTTTGCGGCGAACAGGCTGGCGACGTGGCGCGGGTAGGACAGCGGGACGTAGCAGATCAGGGCCTGGAAGATGAAAAAGGTCGAGAAGGCGAAGATGGCGATGCCCAGCGTCGGCACGATCCAGTGGACACTCGCTCGGGCGGTCCACGCGAAGAGTAACAGGCCGATGGGGGGACCCCAGACGCCAAACAGGCCCGGCAGGAGCCACTGCTCTTGTGCGACGGGGGCGCCTTTCTCGCGGTGGTGGATCCGCGCCCGCGGGATAAAGTGGTACGTGATATACACGTAATACAAGGCGAGGCCGCAGATGCAGCCGACGGTCAGGGAGGTGAAGACCAGGCCCATCCCGCCTAGCGACATGCCGTACGTGCCGAGGTAGACGAGCGGAAAGGCCTCGAAGAACGAGTAGTAGGTCGCGTAGACGATGGAGCCGTAGACGCAGGCGTACAGGATCGCCGGGTCCTTGGCCGTGATTTCCAGCGGCTTGTTGAGTGCCTCATGCAGCATCTTGCCAAAAGCGAGGGGCGTGAGCTCGCACGGCGCTTTGTAGCTGTTGTTGCCCGTGGCTTTGCGGAGGCGTTGGGCCCGCCGGAGCAGGATGGTTTGAGGGGATGTCTCGGGCAGGAAAGGGAGGAAGACCAACACCACGCCGCCCATTATCACCACCTCGTACAGCGGCCAGCGCCAGTTCTCGGTCACGGCGTAGCCCGCCAGCAAAGGCCCGAACGCCGGCCCGCAGTACATGCTCGCCACCCACCAGATGTAGCCGTAGGGGGCGCTGTACATGTCGTAGACGTCGTCGATCGAGGCCGCCCCGCTGGCGAGGCACGGACTGCCGAACCAGCCCTGGAGGAAACGCAGGATGATCAACCCCGGGAAATTGTCCACAAAGGCGAGACCGATGGAGACCAGGAAGAAGGCTATGAACGAGTACAGGTACGGCGGGTTCCGGCCGATACTGGCGACTTCACTGAGCGGCGAGAAGAACATGGGGCCAGTGCCGTCTATTTTGGAGGATATCAGTATTTGAATCCCTTCTTAGAGGGAGTGGGTCAACAACGTACAGCCAACGACATACATGGACAGACCAAGACTGGCGACAACCACGGAGACATTGTATCGCTCGACAATGTAGCCCGCGGTGGGGGTGATGATCGAGGCGGTGCAGTAGACGACAAAGGTGTAGACGTTGATCAGGGTGACAGTCCACGTCTTCTTCGCGGCCGACCAATTCCGCGGGTTGTCCGTGTCGTCGTCGGCAAAGGACACCACGATCGGCTCCGTCAGGGCTTTTTGGGACATGGCGCTCGAGACTTCGTCCGGGGGAGTGGCCAGTCTGAGTGAGGAGGCGCTCGGGAGGCTCTTTTCGAGGTCCTTTTCGAGGTCCGTTTCGCTGGCGTCATCGTGGTCGTGATCCTCTTCGTCCAAAGGAGGGAGGACTTCCTGAGAGACGAATGGCAGGCTGGGTAGTTCAAAGCCAGTGACTTCCTCGGGATAGTACAGCCACGACTTGAACCCGATCAGACGCAGGAACTGGCCCGCGGGGGTGTCTCTGAGGGACGACATGTCGAGTGATGGCTGTCGAGCGAGAGAAGGACGGAGAGAGTGTCTGATGATAGATGTTGACGTCCTTTCATTGTTTCGCGTCCGTCCAATCTATTATTAAGACAGCCATCACATCACCATGGTGTGTGCCGTGGACCAGGGCCTGACATGCACGGCTCAATGGGTTGTCGTGGACCCCTCCCTGCCTCCTCTCCTAGAGACTGAGCAGTTTTACCTGGCAACGTGGGCAGACCCAGTCATGCATGAGCAGCTCCATCCCCATCCCAACCGCAACCCAACCACCCCCTTGCAAGGCTGTCTGGCTTTTTGGGCGTCGGGGATTTTTTTTCTCTCTGATGGAAATTCGGCTAGATTCCGCGGTACGTGTAGATTGAGATGGACGCGGGTGTCAAAAAAATCCAGTGCGATGGCGCAAGGCTCGTTCGGCTATTGGGTCGAGGCGAGAGAAACGTGCCTCGAACTTTGTCGAACCAGGGGACGGAGATTATCATAGAGTGCCACACACCACCCTCGACGACCGGGGAGGCGGATTTCGCCATGCGGCTGATATGGAGTCTTTTTTCTCGATTATCGAGCGTCTGCTATTGGTCCGATGCGATATCGCGAGGTCCCCGTCATTGCGTATGTACAAGGTACCGAGTACTCCTACGAGTACGGTGTGTTTGGGAGTGTTTGCCATACTGTATGTAGCAGGAGGTGGCGGGGTGTCAAACGGACGCCAGATGTGGCTTGCTGCGGGATGCCGTGGCCCGTGGCAGCTTGCATTGCTTTCTCGAGAAATCTGATTCCTATCGAGTTTTATCTAGCTGAAGGCTGATGCACGAGCAGTCACGAAGATGGATGCTCATGAAATGGCGTATATGACGAGTTACAATACCTCGCAGAAATAATCTACGCGTACGAGTACGAGTAGGTGCTATTGCCGTGTGTGCTGAGCACCTGAGTAGATGAGCTGCATTTCCTCTTTGCGGAATGACCGACGACCGAGATACGTGGCTTGGTCGTGGAGGTGCTGGAATGTGCAGAGAATGGGGAAATCAAAAACCCCCCGGGCCACGACCTTCAACGTGGATGGATGAGGAGTGGTAAAGTCGTGGCAGTTTGTTGGGTTCGGCTAATTTCCACCTGCACGCCATTCATCACATCGGTCAAGCCACATGGGATCTGGCCTGGCGTGCTTGAGTAAAAAGTACGTACATCACGTACATGGGCGCGGATTGAGGCCGTTGACACAAAAAAGCCTAGTTGAGAGGGCATGGCCTGTGTATACTCAAAAGATATGTAGGTATGAGGTATTATTGTATCAGAGTGTGGTAGAATGTAAGTAGAGAAAAGGGTGCTGTTGTCTCTACAGGGTGGATGTATTCGGGGTTGCAGGAATTAAAGAACGTGTATCTTCTCACTTCGACACGTTCCCTTCCATCACTCGTACATAGGCACGAGGTACTGATTCTTTACGAGGAGACACGACTACAGCACAGTTGACGGCCGTCATGTCTGAAACAACCCATCACAAGCCTCGCCAAAATCGCCGGAAGTCGTAGTTGTTTGATGTCAGAAGGTGCCATTTCAGCCCCCCCCCGGCTCGCCAAGGTCTTTTTGGGCTTGGTGCCCTGTGGCTTCAGGCTTCGGACTGCCCTAGACTGTTGGATTTCCAGGTAGGCACTAGGCTTACTTATGTACTCGTAAGATACATCAGGTACCTCTCTACAGGGGTGTGCACGGACTGCCTTCTCAAAACAGGCGAGATCGGCTCGCCATGTGCGCCTCTTTTTTGGGATCGGAGATTTATCTGCGGAGTGCGAGGCTAGAAACTGGTACTACTACATAAAAAAGATATGATGGTGTGTTGATTTCCCCCTTTCATGGGTTTTATCGTCATCAGAGTGTCTGGGTGTCCACCAGTTCGTTCGGGGATTTTACCACGTATGTACTGTACTTGGTGACTCGTGCTCATGGCACACACAGGGTCCATGGAAGGATCTTGGTAGTTTCTTCCGAGACTGCTTGCTCTCCTTCCCGATCGATCGATCACACACGTATGTATGTATGTATGTATGTATGTATGTATGTATGTATGTATGTATGTATGTATGTACTCGTACCACTGCTGCCTCGGTCGGGGACCTAGGTATATTTAGACTACGCACACATGTACTTTGACCTCGTCTTTACGTATGTCATGGCAACTCCGGCAACCAGGCCCGAGATTGGGCATCGGGCATCAAGTACCGAGTACCTGCTGCTATACAGACTCGCCATGTCTTGGTCCGATTCCTCTGTTCCTGACAGCGGTTTCCTCAGATTTGTGCCAGATGTTGATCTCACTTAGACATCTGACTCAATGAAGCCATCGGACCGTGTCACGCATCTACAACTGCGATGTCACTGTACCCCCTTTCCGCCTCTTGGCCAGAAACCCATCAACCACCCCGAGCGCCTCTTCCATATACTCCGGAACGACAGTAAAATGCACGCGCACGTAGCCGGGGAAATCGCGTTGCCCGTCCGTGCTAAAGCAGAGACTTCCCGGACTGACGAGCACGCCGTCCTCCGCGAGGAGCTGGCGACAGAACTCGACGTCGTCATCCACCTGTCCCTGTCTGTCAGCTGCTGGCGGAGAGGAGAACTTGACAAAAGCAATCGCCCCGGCGGTCGGCCGTGTCCAGGAACACATGTCGCTGTTTTTGTTGATGAATGCCTCCAACAAAGCCAGGTTCTTCTGCGCGTAGTCGAGGTGTCGCTGCAAAATCCGGGGTCGGCACCGGGGACTCAGCACCTCGGTGGCGACGACTTCGTCGATCACGCTCGTCGACATGACAGTGTACTGGCGCGTGTTGAGGACGAGATCGAGAATGTCACGGTCGCGAGACACGATCCAGCCGATCCGTACGCCGGACATGCCCCATACCTTACTCATGGAGCTGGTCACCACGACTCGACTGTATTCGTTGTGCTCGACTAGCGACGGGACAGAAGTAGATGCGCCGCCAGGTGGACCGTGGAACAAGGGCCGGAAGATCTCATCCGCAAACACGACGAGGTTGTGGTCGCGTGCGATATCCAGAATCTGCCGTTGAAGTGCCCCGTCGAGGTGAACCCCCGTCGGGTTATTGGGGTTGTTCAGGATGATCATCTTCGTGGCCGGCCTGATCAGCCCGCGCAGCTCGTCAATACTCGGCTGCCATCCCCGGGCAGGGTCGAGCTTCCAGTACGAGATATCACACTGAAAGCTCTCCGGCAGCCCCAGCAGTTGCGGATACGTCGGATACTGGCAGACGACATGGTCACCCGCACGCAGCAGGCTTTGGAACACGGTCAAATTGGCCCCCGTGGTGCCCGTGGCGGTGACGACGTTCGCGGCCGAGATGTCCTCGTTGTACATACTCGCGATCTGCGTGCGGAGCTCCTTCGCCCCCTGCCCTGACCCGATGTTCATCTTGATGGATCGGAAATGCAGCGCCCGCTCCGTCGCGGCGGGGTCGGTCGACAGAGAGAGCAGGTCGTCGAGCGAGATGCTCGGCGCGGCACTTCCGCCCAGCACATACTTTGCTTTGTCTTTGTTGCCTTCGATCCACTACATTCGTCGCCAACCCTCGCCCTCGTTCGCGTCAGGTGAGTAACGTGTCCGGGTTAGATGTCAGGGGGGAGAGTATGACTCACGTTTGCGAGGTGAAAGGGGGCGAGTTGCGCCATTGTACTCGGTAGTATTGGGTGTCTCTGAGTGTCACGCTGAAAAGACTCAGAGGATCAGAAACCCCGTTCTTACATGTGTAGATGTGCGAGATAAAAATACCCAAGGTATCATCAATGATTCGCGTCGTCTCTTCCTGCTCTCTGACTCACGCAGATGTATACGCAGCAAGCACGCCCTTCTCTGACATCAAAATCTTGGCATGACTTGGGGGTGGAAAGTAAAAAGTACAAGCACCAAGATAAGGCGTCCACAGGCCTTGATCTGGCTGATAAGCAGTCATTCTGGGGTCGTGTCTAACCCCACAGAACCCCATCACCAGTAGATTATTCTGTGTCATAGCCTTGATAGTCAGTTGATGTCATTGAACCAGCCCTAAAGTCCTCCCAGGTATCCCTCGCCTCACGATGTGTATACAACTAGTTAACCCATGACATTTCAACCCAACTTCTGCTCCACGCTCAGTCGTCCATAGCCACATCACACATGGTAGTCGTTCCTCTAAATCATCCGTATCTGCACCCACTCACAAAAGCACGTTCAGAAGTAGAACCTTAAACACCCGTCGGTACGACCAGAAACTCCTGGCAAGGTGCCTCCCAAAGTGAAGCCATCCCATCAACACCCACTTATTCTTCCCTTCAGCGTCAAAGAGTCTGGGGTCCAAGTCGCCGAACCAGGCGTCAAACTCTTCTTGGATGTTCATCCCATCGTCGGCTGATTCTGAAGAGGTACCACTCAAAAGCAAAGGAGAACTGGAGGCGTTGCTCGAGTCTGTGTCGCTGGCTCCAAACGGCCAGTTGATACTTCCGGTCCCGCTGAAGGACGGAAAAACAGGCTGAACATCTTTACCGGGTGAACTGAAGGCAGGGTCCCAGTGGCCACCAACACTGCTTGATGACTCTTCTTTATCCCAGTGGACTTGCAAATGCTGATATGCGACGCTACTCGGTGGAAGTCCGTTGTCGCTATTCGACGCACTGTCGCGAATTCCTTCGAGGAAATCGCGGTAAGTCTCAAGGTCGTGCATGCACTCGGCCCAGCTTTCTCCCAGCTCTGGGAATTTGGAGTCAAGCCGCCTGAGCATGTCAAAGGATAAATAGATGTAGGAAATCATGTGCTCCAAGTGGTTAGGGATGCGTTGTCGTAAGATCTCCAAGATTGCCTTGTTGCTGCCTCGCCAAAGCCGCCCTGGTAGGTCATACTCAATTGCCAATCTTTTCAGAGCGGGTGACGCTAGAGGGTGGTGGGTTGCTAGGAGAAAGTCGTGATGTTCATGAAGCAGCGTGCGGTGCAGAGCCAGCAGTGCTTGCCACTGCACGTCGCTCAATGGTTTTGTGGGAGATGCTGATCTGGCTTCGCAAGTCTCAATACACTTCTTTTCGACCATGACAAGGCCAGCATATATTCCTACCACTTCGATTAGTTCATGTTCCGCCATCTTTGTGTACCACTGGAGGATCTACCTCTGACTTCGTTGACGAGTTGCTCCTGTGTGATCGGACTAGTTGTGGGCGGACGTAATGGTGGTCTGATTTCCTCCATTTCCAAGTATGCGGGTGGCTCATGGTTTTTGTTTTTTACCCGGATCTCCGATTGCAGTCGTTCTATTTTTTGCAAGATGGGGTCACCGCCATAGTCAAAAGCAGAGGAACAGCTGCGTTTGTTCTCCAACGAGCATTTCAACTGCTTGTCCTCGGAGTGGCTGTCCCATGCGGGTGGGTCCTTCCTCTTGCCTTGGAGGACTGGCACTTCTTCGAGATTCCGATTGATATCCCAGACAGAGGTGCCCGGGCATGGGGTTCCAAAAGTCCATGGCCTTCCAGCCCGTTTTCCCTTTGGACGTGACATTGCCGATTCTTGCAAAATTTGTTGTTTTCTGGAAGCAGACGGCTCTTGGAAGCCAGGAAGCCGTACGAGGCCCTCATCTCTGCTGCTGGAGGCGACATCCATGACCGGAATGCGCGTCTCGGCAATATCTATGCGGAAGGCTGAGCCGCAAAAGTTGGAAGTCACAGGTGGGGAGTGGGGGCCAAGTCACTAAGCTGGGAATTTATCCCAAGGGCAGGTGCCACAAATGATCAGGTTACCGGATATTCTAGGAAAGATAAAGTAGAGCTAGAATGTAGAGCTGGGGGAGGAGGGAAGTGCCTGTCTTTTTGTACAGTAGGGTAGCAGAGTACGAGGCAGGTGCCGGGAAATCTGCTAAGCTGCCTTCGGTTTAGGCGGCCTTAACCGTTTCAGGTATGGTCGAGGGCTGGGCGCACCGCCGCTTTTAACGGCCTTTCGACATGACCGCGCCAACTTCGAGCTAAACCTAGCCGGGCGAGTGCAACATTTGGCCCAGGTTTACTTCAGACATCGTTTGTCGTGATGGGTAGTCCTTGGCCAAAGCTTACTTCTGTCATCTTCCCTACTGAAAGCAAGAGAATACTGAATCTGCGGAAGGAGGTGTTCATAACGAGGGGACAGCACCGCTGTATTGGATTCATCTCTAGGAGTACGAATTGACAGAACTGCGGCCAGTGTATCTCAATGAAATGAAGGCCACATATCCATCCTGGAGCAGCACACAGGGGATGATGGCACCGGCAGATTTTGAATTCGCTGTTTCTTGATGCTCTTCTGGTTTCAATCTTGGTATCATCGAGTCTTGGTTGGACAACTGGGAAAAAGGTGGCGAGTATTGGAGCTTGATAGAGGAAATTACAGGCTTGATGATGTACAGCGCGTGCTGATAATTTCTTTCAAAATTTTGAGGAGCCTGGGTGTGGAGTTCTAAAGACAATGGCCTTCCACTAGAAGACCATTTCGTGTTCATGTAGGGCCTTCAAGTTGGGGACGTTGTATAACTTGTCCTAAACTGTACGTTGCGCTGCCTGAAGATCTGACAAATGATATATGGATCGTCCCCAGTGACAGATGGAATTTCACACGCTACATGAGCGCACATCCCTGCGCCTGTCTGATTCTTGCCTTGATCTGCTTCAACTGCTTCTTCTTCTTCTCATTCTCGTCCCTAAGATGCTCATTTTGGTCCCTTTCCGCCTGCAACTTGGCCTCCATCTCATCATGTCGTCGGGCCTCTTCTTCCAACTCCTTGAATCGCTCCAGCTGGAGTTGATCCCGATTGACTTTGATCAGCTCACAGTCCTTTTCCAGGCTCTTGATTTTTTTCTTCCATTTCTCCACGTCCTCCTTGAGGCTCTTGACCTCTGTTTCCCTCTTTTGATGGGTCAATTTATTATCCCGCCTGACCTCTGCAATTTCCCTCTGAAGGTCATTGATCTCGCGTTCATAGATCGCTTTTTCGTTTTCCAACTTCTCCTCTAATGCAATGCCGGCCGCGGTCTTATCAAGCGTTTTGCCGTCCTCCATTTCTTTCTGGATTGTCAAGTCGATGCCGTCCTGGGGCCGATTATCCAAAAGGTGGCGCACGATTTCCAAGGCCGACCGCCGTTCTCTGTCGTGGATGAAGGGGGTTGCCCCGTGAAGGATCATGGGCTTCCAGAATCCAACGTCCTCAAGGAGCTCCTTGTGGCGAGCGTGCTGCCTTTCTCTCTCTGCCGCTCCACTTCCCCAGTGTGTTGTCGCAAGAGCAACAGAAGACATAGAATCCTCACCGCACAGTTTTTTGAACATGCGGAGGTTGTTCCTGGCCGTTCCTCCTACACGCGGGCTGTTGATCGCGTGTAAGTACACTATGCCTGTTAGCTTAATCCCACCCTTGTGAGCCTTGTTGAGCCAGTTCGCTATCTCGCGCAGGATGGCAGCGTCGGGCCGAATGGTGTCGTCAAACCCAGGAGTGTCGATGAAGATAATTCGACGGCCGTCAATTTTGTCAGGTGCCCGGTGCGCCTCTACCACGGCAGTCACTGCACGCCCATTTTTGCGCTGTTAGCACTTCTGGAATGACGGCGTTGCGCACAGCTGCTGGGAAAACTTGCCCGATTTTAATCCATCTCCCACTATAGCTTTATCGCAGAAGTGCCGAATGAACGTGCTTTTCCCTGAACCAGTCATTCCCATAACGGCAATGAACGCATCATTGGGCTGGACATGTCGTATTCTTTAGAGCGGTAAGTAATTTAGCCCCCATCGAGATGCGCATATCTCATCCAAACATACTCGAAGAGGGAAGGTGCAGAGTCATGCATCTCCATAGCAGGCTCACACGACTCGTACGGCGGTGGACTGTCTTTGTGGTCCGTGTCCTCTGCCACGTAGAAGGGGTAACAAGGATTCATGGGTTTTCAGACGCAACGACTACTGGTGGGATTGATGTGATGAGCCTCATTAATTCGAGAGGAACAGCCATCAACTTTAATATCTCTGGGTGTATCCAGAGTCGCCGACCTCCCGTTTCCCCCTCCGCAGCCTACGTGGTTTTCAGCCGCATTCCCGAATATTGTCCAATGAAACCAAAGCAAGTCTTGCAGCACACCATTCTCTTGTACCTATCCGAAGATGCTTGTCTCGCCAATCAAAAGGGACTCAGAAGCTGTGGGTGGGTGGAATGTGTCCCGCATTCGCTCTTTGTGATTTTTCGTGGGCAGCGTGTCCCTCCGGTCACAGAACCCAGCGGCCATTCGTGACACGTAATAACTGCACAGCCCATCGACCTGCAGTCTTCCCAAAAGAACTCATCTTCGCATGGTGTGTAACGTCGTCTGCCTTCCGTCGAACCAATGACGCCATGCCTTGTGACGTGGCTGTCGTTGACATTCGCCGTGCTATCTACAGGGGCGTTGGATGATTGATGGCCTCGGGTAAAAAGCAGTCCTTGAAGCGCCCGAGTGGTCATGCTGAAGTGATAAGCTCCCCTGCTCCCCTTACAGACCTGACCATGTTGAGGTGGCAAGCGATGCCGGTTCTTCGTCGGAGAGAATGCCTTGTCAGCCGGATACTTGAATCGCGTGGATGGTATGTTAGCGACTTGTCCAATTGATAGCGAAGAAGCCATCTTTGGGCTGGAGTGAGGCAAGCATGAGCAAAAAGCATTGATACGAAAAACAATTCCAGAATAGGCATCACGTGGTTTTCCCGCCAAGCACATCCAGGGTATTCTGGACACACCAGCGCATCCCACTCCTATTCCTTGGATCGAAACACAAGTAAATAGTCACACATCAAGGCCACGATGGGGAAGAATGACCGCAGACAACCCCCATCCAACGGCCGTCATGTTGGGTTTCAGCGTCGGTCTATTCATCTAGACGACGAGCAACAGTCTGACAGGCGGCCTCAGCTGAGGCGAGCTATGACTGAAGGCTTCCTACCCCCGGTTTCACACCATGGAGTAATCTCTTCCTCTGCACTACCTTCTCGACGCGAAACCATGACGGAAGCAATGAGAACCGCTATGGCTCCAATCCGAAGTGTAGATGGCGGACGCGGTTTGCCATCATTGTAGGCAGCATTCCGTCCACCAGGCGTACATTTGAATACCAGTTCTAACATTATCTTCAAGGGCCAACAGTATGGTCATCGCTCTTATGGGCGTTACTGGGTCGGGAAAGAGCTCATTCATCTCCCTTCTCGCCGACCAGGATGTGGAGGTTTCGCACAGCTTACATTCCGGTCCTGCCCCTGCCTGCGAGGGCGAGCCAGAGCTAACATACCGGCAGACACCGCGAGTATCAAAATATACAGTTTCAACGATCAGCGCGGCAGAACAGTATACCTGCTTGATACGCCCGGGTTTGATGACACGACTCGCTCCGATGCCGAGGTTTTGAAGGACATCTCTTATCTCTTAGCCGTCATGTTCGCCGCCGATATTCGGCTGGCCGGACTCATTTATCTGCATCGGATATCTGATGCCAGGATGGCCGGCTCTGCAGTGAAGAACCTGCGCATATTCCAGGCTTTGTGCGGTGAGTCAAATTACAGGCATGTAGTCCTCGCAACAACAATGTGGGCGGAAACTGGGAGTAGCGATGCACGAAGCGTTCAAAATCAACGACTCCAGGAGCTACAAGACACTTACTGGGACGATATGATTCAGTCCGGAAGCAAGGTCATGAAACATGACGGCCACGCGTCATCGGCTCTAGAAATCGTCCGCACCCTGACGGCTCGTGCCGAGTCGCCCGTCACCCTTGCCATCCAGCGCCAATTGGTTAATGAGGGTCAAACCCTGGATGAGACCGATGCTGGCAAAATTGTTTTCGAAGAAGTCATCGCATCGAAGCGCAAGTTTAAGCTCGAACTTGACGAGCTGCAAGAGAGCTTGGAGGAGGCAGAGCAAGATGATGATCAAGAAGGGATTGAGAACCTCCGGACCGAACGTGCGGCGATCGAGTCCAAGGCCCGACGGCGCGCGAGAGACGGTGATAGTCTCGGAGTCGACATCCGGCAACTAGCCCGGGAGCAGCATCCACTGTATCACAACCTGATGTCCGCCCTCCAGCAAGAAGATCATGACAGTGTTCAGACGGCTGGTGTTACGTACGACCCCGACCGCAGAGTGCGGGATCTGGAGGTGATGCTTAAGGAGGAGCAGCAGAAGCGCAAGGAGAAGGAGGAAAAAAACATGGAGCTCACAGAACAGCTCCGACAGCGTGATCGCGAACCCGCGGCGGAGATCAGCCGGAAAGGACCATCCAAGGCACTGCGTTTCGGCGTCGAACGGAAAATCAAGACCAAAGAGAAGTCAGGCTTGATGACCACCATCATGCAGTTCTTGAAAGTGGCCGGGTCGTACCTGCCATCCGAAGATGAGAGGTTCTACGTGGCGCAAAGCAGTCGCTCGTCGTCGTCAAAGTCCTGGTCCAAATTGAGCATGGGCGATCAACCCAGAGACCCGGTCAATCACCAACGCCAACACGACCGACCAACCCTGAACGAAAGAACCACGGGAGGCGCGAGACCGCAAGGGAATCCATGAAACACTTTTATTTATTACTATTTTGTTTTCGGTAGCTTGACCTCAGTTGCATTACGATTCCAACGACATATATCTATTTTCTCTTGCCCGTTCCGACTGGATATGGTGGTCCCCAAATAACTTACCGCATACCAGCAAGCATCACTCTAGTCCTGTCTAGAAGCCTTTGAAAGAGCAGTGGCTAAGTATAAGTAGCAACGAGCTGTGCTGCGGCCAACGGATTGCTCTGCTCACTCGGGCCTGCGATTTTATAGCCTTTTCCCGGCCAGCCAGCGCAGGGGCCAAGTTTTGATCACGTGGCTAAATGGACTTGCCGCTATAATTCTGAAGATCCCAGCGTTTGGCACTAAACCAGAACGAGAAGATTTCTCAAAACAGGCAAGCGTGATGGTTTCAAATCTACCAATCGAAGTCTGAGTGCTTCCCCCCTATAAAGCACCTTGTAGGGAACGGGGCGTTTCACATCCCGAATGCTTCTTCTGATTGCTAAATGTAGAGATCCTGCTACTGCAGTATCTAAGTTGCTCATTTCGGACATCGGGTCGGGCAGTTCTTGTACCACAGTAGTTACGCAGTCAAATGAGCCTCTATGCTACCCGGATTGACGTGCTATTGTATACTAGTCAATCTGCCGAGGTAGCTAGGACCACGCGACAGAAGTCCAGCGAATCACAAGTTCATGCAAACGATGGCTGAATCTTTCCACAGTCCCTGTGTCTCAGCCGCTCAGGCAGATTCGTCTCATACCTAAACATTAACGATCAGTGAATATCAGAGCTGATACCGACAGTAGAGCAGGGATGTGTGCCTCACATGTGCTTTGTCCATTCACAAGCCAGAGACCTTGTCATTGCTGGGTCGATAATCTCCTCTATGCCAAAGTTGTTCGCCGTGCGAACCGGATTCATGAGGTTGAGGTACTCCGCCTCGAGCCGGTTGTAGACCTGTTTGTAGTTGTCCCCGGCTCTGCGAAGTTCGGCTCGGTGGTTGACTTCGATGCCGCCGTCAAGCGGGAGTGATCCCCAGTTTACAGACGGCCTCATGTTCGTTAGTTTGGTCATTGCGTGAGGCTGTCGAGGTCTTACCATGCAACGCGGCAGTTTGGGTTGCGGTTATCGACGAGAATCGCCCCTCCGATACCATAGCATCGCCGAGTGATGATGGTATAGATGGGAATCGTGGTGGCGAAGTAGGCCTGGCTAGTGATGAGTATAGAATCGTTGGAGGAAGACGAGTGTCAAATAGTTCACCTTGCACAGCTCCATGGCCCATTTCATGCACGCGCTCCTCTCTGCAGCGGTTCCAATTGCAAATCTGGGATTTTGTCAGAACGAAATATCTGTGCTGGGATAGGCAGGTCTCGGGAGAAAGGATCTCACCCTGGGATGTCCAAGAGTTGGATCAAGGGAAGTCCCATCACATCACAGAGTTTGATATGCTTCATGAGCTTCTGACAACCAGGTGTATCCATGGCTCCGGCATTGAATTGAGGATCACTAAACCTTGCTGTTAGCTTGTGTCGTAATCATGCGTGAACTGTTCCTCTTCTACGGAACGAAGGAATTATCAGTCAATAACAAGCAAGACACGTACTCTGCGAAAATGCCCACTGGTCTCCCACCCAAGCGGGCCAAGCCCACCACAACGGTTCGGCCCCATAGTCGTCCGATCTCAAAAAATGATTCCCGATCAACAAGATGGTTGATGATTGACCTGACGTCGTAAGAACGTTGTCGTCTTCTAGGGATAGCTTCCCTCAGTTCCGTGCACAGTCTGTTGGGATCGTCCGTTGAAGGCACGACAGGCGGTAATACGCCGCCGTGATTTGGAACGTATTGCAAGAACTGTGCTATTTGATCATAACATCCACGCTCGTCTGCGGCCAAGTTGTCGATGACTCCGTTGCAGCAGTGAATTTCCGCCCCGCCGAGTTCCTTTGGACTGAGACGATATCAGACGAGGATAGGGATAGTGGCGGTCAACAAGACAAACCTCAGGTCTTCTTCGAATGTGGCTCCTTCAACAACCTTGGGTCCGGCATTGAAGAGCGAGCCGATATCATTTGCCATGACGGAGAAGTGGCATCCAGCTGCCCGTGCGGCACCTAGACCAACAGCCGGACCGACCACGGCCGCACAATTGGGGATGCCCAAGTCTAACTGCCGCATCTGAATCTCTGTTAGTGACTTCTGAGAGTCTGAGATCTGCATAAACTTACCACCCATGGCAACAACTCCAACTCAGGAATGTAGGTCGCTTGCTGGACGCGGTAGGTAGTTATCGACCCGCCGCCTGTCAAAGGGGTCAGCGTGTCAAAGACCCCCCAAGCACAGAAGCCGCCTGCTCACCTGAAGATCCATCAACCAATTTGATCATGGGGAGTTTCATATGTACCGCGAGCTTCTCCATGTAGAGCGTCTTGGCCAGGAGCGCACCATCCGCATGTCCGGCACGGAGAGTGAAGTCGTCTGCTGTCAACAACACTCGTCGACCCCGGATGTGCCCAAAGCCTGCACAGCTGTCAATTGAAGTGGCTTGGGTGGTCTGTTGTCATACCTTGGACATTGTTGCTGGGGGTGAAGTCAGCAATGACCTCCTTCTGCGCCTCGACGATATTATCCGATGAAGGGTTCGCCTTGACCCAGGTTGCAGTGCCGGCAGCGCTTCCGACTTCTCGAAAGCTTCCAGGGTCGAGAAGCATTTCGACCCGCTCCCTCACCCATAGCTTTCCTGCCTCTTTGTGACGGATGTAACCAGTGGTGTTGGACTTTGGAGTTTGCGCGAATTTCCGAACTTGGTCCAACTCCGCCAGTACATCAGACCAATCTGCTGGGCCCTCAGATGCTTTGGACTTCTTTTGACGCCGAGTAGTGGCCTTTCCTGAGACTTGCTGCTGGATCTGGTCAAGTCGCGCGGTCGCGTTTGGCTTGCCCTTGGCAGCACCGTCGTTGGTCATGATGGGCTTCCCTGCACACCTATATTGTACAGTGTTAGTTTAATCTTATGTCTGGCATATGCGGCGCGAGTCTTGTTGTTCAAAATGACTCCCGGGTCCCTATCCGTACTTTAAGCATGAAACAATATTGTTGGACCAAGTCGATGTAGAAGGTTGACTGGGGTGGACGAGAAAGGGATACCCAACGACGAGGCTGTTGCAGCCTCATCCCAATCAAGATGCCTCGGTAATAGTGCTTGGAAGAGCCTGTAGAGCAGCTCCAAGGCTACTGTAGGGATGCACAACCCCTCATCCCCAGGGTTCAATGCCCCTTACAACAGCATCGCGTCGACTTACCGAGGACCATCGCCACCCGAACTCGAATGGGAAAGCCGACATATTAGCCCTCTTACCAACGTTGACACACAAGGAAAAAGATGTACTCGACGCTCCAGGATACATCGGAGCATAATATTTTGTGACCCATTTTGCTTGGGTATAAGATACCCACGGCATCACCAGTGCGATGCTCCGACGGTTGTCAAGACTCCATTACAGCCCCCGACCGGATCTCTCTTCAAAACCCGACTCTGCGAGGACCAATTGACCACCTCTGGGCCAGGTATGAGGTAATTTGAAGGGACCACTTAGTGATCGTGGGCCAGTGGTTCCTCTTCTCCTCTTTCAATAGCCGATCTTACCACGACTGCAAAGACTGTCCCCAGCGGAGAATTGTGGATGACGATATTTTGCATGGGGGATGACACCGCACATTTATCAGAAGCAGCCAATCCTAAAAGTCCGCTACGATGATCACTTGAAGAAGCAGCAGATGGACCAAAGCTTGTGAATGCTTCGATGGAAATCTTCGCTGATCAATAGCCGGTAACCCACAAGGAAAAGGAGCCATCCTACCATGCTATCCACCACAAACATTCTTCAATGGGGCTGCAGAAGCAATTCAGTGGGCCGGGCCCTCCATTGATTCTTCCGAGCCTTTCGCCGATCGAAACATGTTCGCTCAACCACGCAATGCGTTCAATATCCTGATCCTTGTTTCGATGGGCGAAGGGCGTCCTGGCCCACGGGGTCCCGCTCGAGACTGCTGATGTGGAAATATAAAAGACTGTGAAGGTATGGATTGCGGAAATCGCATATCACCAGAGTAAAGCTTTCTCATTCTATGATTTCGCTATTGAAGCCTCTCTGGTACTCTCTTCAAGATGGGTATCGACAATTCCCAAGGCCAGACTCATATTGAAGATGAGAAAGACCCTCAGCAAACACGCATGCGGCAGCAGTCCGTCGCATCTCGACGTCTGAGTGAAGCCCAGGCAATGAAACTGGCAGAGGACGACACCGCCATCGTTGACGAAGAAATCGCAGAGTTTGAAGCAGCCCTCGAAGCACAACCGGTCAAGAGCACCTTTCTCAATCCGCAAATCTCGTTCAATGACCCCCGACACTTCACCTGGCTCCTCGTTGGCTTTGCTTCAATGGGTGGCATGCTCTCCGGGCTCGACCAGAGCGTTATATCTGGTGCCTTGCTCTATATGCCCGACGATCTACACCTCAGCACATCTCAAGTCAGTTTGACCAGCTCTGCCGTGCCACTGGGCGCAATTGGTGGTGCCCTGCTCCTCGGTCCCACCAATGAGCTGGTCGGTCGCAAGATGGCTATCATCATCTCCCTGATTCTCTACACCATCGGCGGCGCCCTGGAAGCCGGTGCTATCAACTTTGGCATGATTGTGGGCGCAAGAGTCATCCTCGGCATGGGTCTCGGACTTGAAGGAGGCACCGTCCCAGTCTACGTGGCAGAATCGGTCGAGAAGAAATACCGCGGCAATCTGGTCAGCCTGTATCAGTTCATGATCGCCTTTGGCGAGGTCATCGGGTACGTGGTCGCGGCCATTTTCGTCAACGTGCCGTCTGGCTCTTGGAGGTATATGCTCGGCTCGTCCCTGGTCTTTAGCACCATTATGCTCGTGGGTGTAAGTTTCCCTTGTGACAATGAGCTGTCGGTGGAACAGTTCTCCTGTCCAAGACCTTCTTCCTATATCCTTCCATACTAATGAGTGCACAGATGCTTTTCATGCCCGAATCCCCGCGAATGCTTCTCCACAAGGGAAAGACCCTGGAGGCTTTCGCTGTGTGGAAGCGAATTCGAGGCCTTGCCAGTGCCGAGGACCGCAAAGAATTCTTCATCATGCACCATGCCCTCGATGCAGAAGTTCACGAGGGTGACACAAAGCGCCGGAGATTCGTCTGGCTTGACTTCTTCACCAATCCGCGTGCACGAAGAGCTATCGTCTACGCAAACATCATGATTGCGCTTGGCCAGTTGACTGGGATCAATGCAATCGTAAGTTGTCTTGAAGCTTGACATTTTCTGAAATCAAAATTGCTAATAGTTGCCCAACAGATGTACTACATGTCAACACTGATGTCCCAGATCGGATTCGACAAGAAGCAATCCGTCTTCATGTCCCTCGTGGGAGGCGGCTCTCTCCTGCTAGGCACCATCCCAGGCGTGCTGTACATGGAGAAATTCGGCCGTCGCTTCTGGGCAAACACCATGCTCCCTTGCTTCTTCGTCGGTCTCATCTTCGTCGGCGTGTCTTATCAGTTGAATTCCGTCACCGCCACAGAAGGCATGTACCTCACGGGGATCATTCTGTACAACGGCTTCTTCGGGTCCTACGCTTGCCTGACCTGGGTTCTGCCCAGTGAGGTGTTCCCCACGTACTTGCGGTCCTACGGCATGGAGTCCACCGACGTCAACCTGTTCTTCGGCAGCTGGCTCGTGACCTACTTCTTCTCGGACATGCAGCGGGCCATGACCAAGACGGGCTTGACTCTCGGCTTTTACGGGGGGATTGCGGTGCTCGGCTGGATCTATCAGCTTTTGTTCATGCCCGAGACGAAGAACAAGACTCTGGAGGAGATTGACCTGATTTTCAGCCAGCCTACCAGTCAGCTTGTGAGGGAGAATCTCAGAAATGTCACGCGGGGGATGAGCGACATTGCGCATTTCCGGTTTGGCAACATCTTGTCCCCTGCAGAGGAGAGTCGTGAAACTGAAAGGCACATCGACGAAGTCAAGGCGTAGTTAGTGGACGCTCCATACACGATATAGATACTGTGGTTGACCCAATACAAAACTAGCTTGCTTTCGCGTTGATCCTCAAATGGTTCTCAGATTGTCTGCATCAGGCATGCTATCTATATATTTGCCGTTCTCTCAGAGGCCTCAATCCGTCACCCCTGCAGCCGCCACTTTCACTGAACTGGCCAAGTCCTTGTCCAGATCTACATGTCCATTCGCGCCACCACCCTCGACATCCCCATTCGTCGACGCCTTGCGATAATACTGTGTAAAATCGTGCTTCAGTACATCCGCACCGCTGCGGAACACCTTTGCAAACTCCTCGTCGGCCTCTGCGCGCTGACACATTTTCAGAAACTCGTCGTTCTCCAGCGCCTTGTCGGGATCCTGGCCGAAAAGGCGTACTATGTTGGCGCTCGAGATGGGGTTGACAACTTCATTGTACTTTTGGCGCCGGATCTCCGAGTATTTGTCCAGGATCGACTCGTCTGCGAGACCCGCGTAGATACCGGCGAGGCAGTCGTACAGGCCGCCGATGTCGACGATGCCGCCAGTCAGGCCCATCCCACCGAAGGGGTTGCATACTACTCGTCACGTCAGTGTCTGGTAGGTTTCTTCTTCTTCCGGAGGACGCTCGGGGGTGTGTATACGTACAGTGCGCAGCGTCCGCAGCCAGACAGAATCGCCCGACGCGCATACTCGGCGCAAGCCGCTGGTGGATGCGGTACGGGCTAAAGTTGACGATCCGGTATTCATCAGGTTTCGGATGCCCGGGCAGCATGGTCTCAAACTTCCACGGCTGTCTCTCGCGGAGCTGGTCGTTGGTGAGACCCGGCTTCTCGCCGTACGTGACGCGGTAGAGGCCATCCTTGCCGATTTTGGCAGCCATGTACCAGTGTTCTGGGTCGATGATGAAGTTCGAGTCGAGCCAGCCGAACTTGTCAAAGTCGTAGTATGTCTTGGGCCTCTTCATTAGCCAGGTGCTCACACGTAGACACTTCCTAGTCCAAGGCACGGAAGGGGGTTAGGGAACTTACGTTGGTGGCGACAATCTGCTCGTCCCACGTCTTGCCAGGGAACTCTTTGTCCCCGAACAAGGACCGTCTCACCTGACTGTTCGCCCCGTCGCACCCGATGATGTACTCGGCCTCGAGGCGCTTCTCGCCTTCGGGCGTCTCGCACACGACCCAGGCCCGCTGATCGTCCTGCCCGACTGACACGACTTTATGGCCCCACGACACCGTCGCCGTGGGCTGCCGACCGATGTGGTCCATGAGGATCTTCCCCAGCCGGTTCAGCGGCAGACAGACCATGCGGTCCGGGTCGTCCTCGACCCCCATCTTCATACCCGCCAGGTACGTGCCGTCGAGTTTCCGCCAGCAGACCCCGTCCGGCATGAACCCCTGGGCGCGCAGGTCGTCGACGATCCCGGCCCGGCGCAGCTCGTACATCGCCGGGGACCCGTAGTGCGTTGCGCGCGGTTGTTCGTCCAGTTTGACGGACATGTCGATGAGGTGGACGGGGATGCCTTTCTTTGCGAGCATCAGGCCTAGAAGGAGACCTGACGGGCCCGCCCCGACGATTAACGCCCATGGTTTGGATGTTGACGACATTTCTTCTTCAATCCGGGAAAGGGAACCAGGGTCTTTGTCTTTGACCTTCGTGGTAGTCGACAGATAGGAAGAAGAACGATATATAAGCTTTCAAATAGCGGACAATGGCAACCTCAAGATCATAGCTGTATTTTCTTCTCGTGGTTTCTCTTGGCTCAAAGCAACTCGGTACAGGTCTATGTATTCAAGGTGGCGACCTCTCTCACGCGATGTGGGGTAAGACGCTCATGACACTGAAGGGTGAAGGGGTAAAAGGATAAAAGGGGGGATTGTGGGGTAGAATAGCCTTGGGGAAGAGGGAGATGCAGCCTTGTCGTTGAACCCGACCCTCGTCCACTCTCTCCTCAGCCTGGGCGTGTCTGGGCATTCGAACACAAAATCAACTACTCTGAAACTTCCCTTCAAAATATCGCATCCCTCAGGTGCCATTCTGGAGGTGATGGCAACAAGGTACGGCACATAATTGGTAATAAACGACCTTATACGGAGATGCGTGGTCTCTGTGGAAAGAAATTACTCAGATTTCCCGCTAGATACGGTAGCTGACACGTAACACCAGTCCGACCAGACACCAGTAGCGTCTCTATGGGCCATCATATGAATGTCAAGCTTCAGCTCGATGTAGTACGACAATATCCACATTCAAGCAAACAATCAAGGGCCTGCTAGTCATGGGAAATTGTTCACAGTGGAAGTTCAGCCAGGCATGGGCAAGGCGGCGTTCAAGAACTCGATGGAACAGGAGCCTCAGGGCGCGGGAGTGATTCGAGTAATAATTCCTCAGCAAGCGGCAAGTGTGGAGTCACACAGTCCGTGTATCGGTGGTCAGTCAGTCAAATTCCATGAACAAAGTCTTACCTGAAACTCTTCACGTTCTCTCTGATTTTCCAGGGACTCCATGACCTCCCTGATCACCTTCCTAAGACTGTTCTTACATCCATTAAATAAGTCAACCGGTACCCATCCCTCCAGAGGAAATGTGGCAGATATGTCGCTAGCTTCAAGAATGTCACGAAATCCATTGAGCCTTCGTGCATCCTCGTAGTGCTTTTCTCGCTCATCATGATTAAAGTGGATGGGACATGAAGGAGCAGACTCGATTTGGTCATTTTCAGCAAGCTTTGACCAATTCTGCTGAACTCGAAGTAATGTGTTTCTGAGCATAAGTGCGTCGGCATCGTGACCATCGGAAGTTCGCGCATAAATTCCGATCTGTCTTCGTATCGGGTTAATCTGCTTATCGTCGTAAATGGCTGCGACAGGAGGTATGTTTTCCCTAAAATGCGATAGATAGTAGCCCTGGAGCATTGTCTTATTGAACCTTTCCCAAGTCTCGGATCTCACAGAAAGAGACATTTCCTTTAGGCCCTTGGGTAACTCAAATAACTGAGCATCATCGGCCAAATCCAAAAACTGCGGTTTTCGTATTGCGAGAAACAAAGGCAAGACATTCGCGTCTTGCCAATCAATGATACTAGTCACTTTTCCTTCATCGGAAACAAAAATATTCCCATCATGAAGGTCTCGGTGCCATAGCAGCGGCAGACAGCGATCAGGGGACCGAGGAACGATGTGTGGCGTGATTGTGCGAACCAGTTCCAGCATTTGGCGTACGGCTGCGTTTGACAGGTCGCTAACCGGCTTAATTGGAAAAGACAATGGTCGGCTGGGGATAACATCTGTCTCTTCGTGGGCGCGACTATTAATTTGTAACAGAGATGAACGTGCGAGAGAATCGAGATAGTCGTTTGGAGTATACCCTTCGATGGAGTAAGCATGAAGCCTAGCGCTAGCATAGACTAGGAACTTACAAGGACCGGAGTCGAAGTCCGATTCCCACAGGACTGATTCCATGAAATGTCCGTGCGCCAACGGGCCTATAATGAATCTCGAAGAGTTTGCTGCTGAGACTTCAATCTGCCGGCGAAATTTGAATTTCGCAGCGTCCTCGGTGAAGTAGAGACTGCCGTAACCCTGAAAGCGTTTGCTGGCTTCAAGAAGACGCTCTTGAATCGTAATAATTTGATCCACAACGCCAATTCTCTGCTTGACGCTTAGGCGGGGCCATGTGCTTTTGAGATCTGCTCCCACAGCTTCTTCTAGAATCATGTATTCACATCCAACTGTGTTGTCATTGTTGTCGCTCCAAGCCAACACTTTTGGTACCGGCAAGTTCAACTCAGCTCTTAAAAAGTCCAGGGTTGCTACCTCACTTGCCGTGATCAAGCGTCGTGGAACGACAGGATCAGGAACCTTGACGATAAATCGCCGCCGACCAACTGTAGCAGTCATCACTTTGTTTGAGGCTCCTTCGGCAAGCTTCTTGACTTCAATTCTACCGGGTTGTCCTTCCAACCCGGCCGTCTTTGCGACCACAAGCTTCAGAGCTTTCATATCGAATGTTAAGGTATGTTGTTGTAATTTTTGGGGCTCGTTCCAGAGCCAACGGCCTGTAGTTGGGAGGAACAAGGAATCATCAGTGAACCTTGTAAATAGGTACGAACGAAGGCTGCGGCCGATCGAGGGATCTGAAAATAGAGGTTTCATCGTATACCTCAATATTGCAGAAGAATCGAGAGAACAAGTATGACTAAGGTGAAGACAACGAGCAAAGTCGGATGCACCGTCTCTGTGCTAGTGGAGATGATGCGCTCCGCCGTAGGCAGGCAACAAGATCACGTGAGATAAGAGGCGGGCGGATTGCAATCCACCATATATCGTATCAAATATACTTCGATTTATCTTCATACTGCGGAGACTTCCTCCACAAAGACCCCTCCCCAACAGATATAATCTAGGAGTGCCTGGACACTGACATCTCGTCCGGTATGGGTCCGCTATGGCGCATGATTTGTTTTCCCAGGTTCCTGCGGCTGCGGCATACGCCGGAAATTCATGCTTCACCCAAGAAAGAATCTTCTCATGATTCTTCGGTTGAAGTCGTGACAGACAATAATGATGCGAGTTCGACATTGGGCTTTTCACTGGGTGAGACCGAGATTGGTAGCGTTGGCAAATTTGATAGCCATGAATCTACAACTGAAAGGTAGGGCATGGAACAAGGAGCATCTGGACTGTATGGCCGGCACTGAGTAACCGCAGCTCGTCTCCACAATCATCTAGCAATTCACTAGATGGCGTAAATCCCCAAGACGAAAGGATACCAGACAGTGTCTCTTCCCCCTCGAGGGCATATGACCTCTTCGAACTCACCCCGGGTGCTGTTCGCCTCGTCAAGGTCTCGCCCAAGGCACAACATGATTACACACATTGTTTATTATCCCGCTCGACCACGTCGTCCAGCTACATCGCACTTTCATACGTGTGGGGGATAACACCGGGTGTATCCACTGTCAAACTCGAATGTGTCGACGCTTTGGGCAGAACCACAGAGTCCAAGGTGCGGCACAACCTGTCGACGTTTCTCGAGGTCGCCGGGTCTCTCTACCCCGAATCGCATCTCTGGATCGACGCGCTGAGTATAGACCAAACTAACGTCGACGAACGGAACCACCAAGTCCAGCAAATGGGAGAAGTCTATTCCCGTGCCGAAAAGGTCCTGATCTGGCTCGGCCAGGGTGATCCTGCTCTCGACTACACGGTCCGCGCCATTTTGAACGAGGAATACCCACGACCACAACGCGTCACGGACGCCCACGATAAATTCTGGCCGGGCCTCTACAAGCTGTGCACGCACGACTACTGGAATCGACTGTGGATCGCGCAGGAAGTGTTCCTTGCTCGAGAAATTTCGATCTTGTACGGCCACGTCGAGATCCCCTGGGACAGTGTCTCGGAGATTGTGCTCGGGTACGCCGACTCCTCGTGGTTCCTGGATAGTTCATCGGACGGGGGGAGTGGCTGCATGGTCGACCAAGCCATCCGCGCCACCCCGGCGTTTCCCTTCTTCATGAGCCGCCATGTGTCTCGCGGCCCGGCGCACTATGCGTTCCGACTCCATGATCTCCTCCGCGAATACGGCACTTCGCGCTGTGAAGATTCGCGCGACCGGATTTTTGGATTGCTCTCATTGACCCGCCATGGCATTCAGTTCCCCGTCGATTACAACCAGTCGCGGTCCGAGCTGTTCTATCGAGCCTGGTCGCATTTCAACACGGACGGCTCTCCCGAGCTGGCGTATCTGCTCATGGTGGCTCTGGAATTGACGCTGGAAGATCTCGAGGCAGAAATCGCGAATGACCTGTCCTTCCATTGGAATCCATCCAGCTGGCTGAGCTGCCGCCCGTTTCGGGACCCCGAGCTGCTCAACCCGTCTGTGCGGCGTCCGACGTTTGACCAGATTTCAGGCGTGTCAGGGGGTCATCAGTCCTCCTCTGATTCGGAGTGCTGGACGTGCTATCTCTGCGACCAGACAGTCCATCTCCGCCGACCTAAGAGGGACGAACTCATCTGCTGTCTTGTCCGGTCTGGGTTCCCCAACCACATCATATTTGAGCCCACGACGCCATTCACATACCTTCCCGCCGTGTTTACCATCATGGAGACACAATCTGATGATGATGATGACGACGACCACCACCACGACCACTACCAGCCTAAGATACAGAAAGATCCACCAGGACTCAGTGTCCCACTTGAAGAGTGCAGACTCTCCATGGTCGAGAGGCCAGATCGCATATTTGCAAAGATCGAGATGAGCTGTCCGGCCCTGGTGTTCCTTCTACGCCAATTGGAGATGCTCGCTCGACGGGACGCGACCTCTGCGCTGAGAGAAGACATATTCTCGTGCGTGGATGACCGGCTCTATAGGTTTGTGCTGTCGCTCACGGGCAAGAGTTTTACGAGCACCACCACAACCACATTGGAATAGACCCACTCTGATCTAGAACGTAGTCTGAGATAGTATATCATTTACGCGAGCGGTTACAGCGTATGGCATGAGATGGGGATTTTTTGCTCTTGTCAAAGGCAAAACACGTAATACTGTCTACGTTCGCGAGACGCTGCTGATAACATTGAATGAAAACTTGAAGCGAGGTGTTTGGCACCAAAGTTGTATCCCTGATACTCTTCCAGATATTTCCGTCCCGGGACGTTAGAGACGGTATTGTCTTCTTGGGCCTTCGCGTCTCCGTGCGTAAGGATGGAGTGAACCGCGAGGGACAAGCGGATCCACCTCGGCCGTGTTGATCAGTGCCGGGTCCGCCTCGTCCAGAGATTTCAGGCCGGCTAAGCGCATGGCTGTCTCGATCTCGTCTTTGATGACTGTATCATAATAGGGAGTGGTTAGCCAAGCGGGAGAAGAAAAGGCAGGTAGAAAACGGGATCGGGGAGATAACGTACTGTTGATAGCGTGCACGACGCCTTCTTTGCCGTAGTTGATGGCATACATGAAAGGTCTGCCCAGGCCGACACCACTGGCTCCGAGACAGAGGGCTTTGAGAATGTCGGATCCTCTTCTGAATCCCCCGTCGATGAAAATCTCCATGTGGTCAAAGACCTCTGCACATTCCCTGTGTAGCTCTAGGAGCACGAGAATGGAGGCCGGGGCTCCGTCCAGCGCCCTGCCTCCGTGATTGCTCACCACGATCCCCTGGCAGCCCATGTGCATGGCGAGCCTGGCATCGGCCGCTGACTGGATACCTTTCAGGACAATTGGCAGTTTGGTCTGTTGTCGCAGCCAGGCCAGGTCTTCCCAGCAGAATGCCGGGTCTATGAAAGACCCCACACTTCTCGCAAGCCCCGAACCCTTGTGGTCGCTACCAGCTGCGGAGCCTCCCACGCCGCTGGAATATAACGTGTCGAGTTTTATTCGTTCGTCTGCTTCTCTCTTCGAGACAACAGGGAGGTCGACGGTGACAAACAAAGCTTTGATCTGTGGGCGGCTGTTGATGACCCTGAGGAGCTCTTCAGTCTTTGACCGGTCTTTGTTGATGTATAGTTGAAAGAAGAACGGATGATCCTTGCCCGCTGCGTCAAGAATCTCGAGCAATGGGAACGAGGCCGTCGTTGATATCTGATTGATGTCAATACAGGGTGGCAGTCACCAGCGACAAATGAACCAACCGTCTGTATGATGCCAGTGGCTGCGGCGCCTCTGCTAAGCGCCAGTTCACCTTCTGGTCCAGCCGTCTTGCCAACACCAGCCGCTGGGTTACTGTTAGCATGGGATCTGACCGTAGAAAAGGGTACCAGTGGAGTTGATCAAGCTTACGTGCAATCCATATAGGAAGCGATACTTGGCATCCCATCATCGTCGCTTTCGTAGATACAGTCGAGACATTTCTCAATATCCGAGGCCGGAACCATATCTTTCTGAAGAGGTCGTGGTTCACGTCACGCGTGATGTTGTCGTTTGAGGCGCCCGAGATGAAGGTCCAGCTCTTCTCCGAGAGTGACTTCTTCGCAGCATCTTCAAAGTCGTACAGGTTGATAAAAGTGTCGAGCGATGGTTTGTCTTCTTGCTTCCGACCTGCCCTCGAATCTTGACCAGGTGGCACATCTGGGAGCTTTGTGGTTGGGTCAAGATCTCCAATCTGCTCTCGAGGCAAGAGATTGGTCTTGATGAGATTCGGTTCGTGGACCTCCGAGTACGCCTCGGTGGCGTCTCTACCAGCATATGCGTAGATTACTATGATTCTTGATGAGTTTTAGGTATCCTTCTGGATCCAAGTGACCTTACTTTCCGCTCCTCCTGGGTGCTCCGGTGCGAATCTTGTCATGTCGTACACCTTTCCCTCTACAACAATCCAGCAGTTGTCGCGTGTGGTATGTGACTGCACGGCAGCCGCCGAGACGGATTTGGTTGAGCTTGACATTCTTTTCTATCCTTGAAGCACGCTTCACATGTAACAGCTCCCGTATTGTAACTCAAGAACGAAGGTTGACCGCTGGTAACAGGCTTCGGAGGAAATCCGATACTATTATCTCGAAATCTTCTCCAACTCGGTGGTGATTCTTCCCCCGCATCTTTGCTATCCTCGGACCAGACGCCGTGAACGGAGGCTAGCGAATGACCATTCGCACCAGGGTAATCCGAGTGAACAGGGGTCCGGGGATTGGTCGGCGTGCCTTCGCATGTCCTCTTCAGGCTGAAGTAGCCTCAGTGGCTTCCTGTGGTTAGCGTGTGATTTTGACAGAGAGCAACACACATTGATGTTCGCAAAACCCAGAGAAGTAGAGGGATGAAAACCCGAACGTCCCAATGCAAGACATTCTACTGACCCATATAACTTACCAGAGGATGCATTTTTTCTTTGTGCCGGAACAGACGGAAGTAGTGACTTGTAAGGCTGACCTTTGAGAGAGGCCGTGCGATTATGTGAGACATGAAGAAATGAGTATCAAAGGACCGAGGAGGACACAATAACGTTACTCTGGACTCGTACAGTGCCTAGTCTTGGTGCTGGTGTCTCCTAACTAGCCGCATCGTTCTGTGTCTGACGAACTGCTCGAGGTGATGCGCGACGACAGTGTGTGCAAGGACCTTTGACAGCCTTCATTGGAGGGTAGGTATCTAGTGCTGAGGTTTGCGTTGCCGAATTTTGAACTCATGGTCTGCATCAATAGGACACCACCAGGGTGATAAATGAAATAGTTATGATCGACACGAGCTGCGACAACGAGATGGAGGGAGCCAGACTTTCAAACAGGGCGGCTTAGGGCTAGTGCCTAGGCAGTGCTAGGTCAAAGCTAGCGAACAGCCAAAGGCCTCCACTTTGGCCAGACTGCCTAGCTAGGCTCGTTCCCCGGCGCCGTTGGTACCATTGGCCGCCTAGTGATGACAGGGCCCAGGTCCGGGCTACCTGTTCCCGAGTGCGCGTTCCCCAGATTTTGGGGGGGTTTCTTTTGCTGGCGATGGTGATTTTCGACGGTGAATCCCCGTCATCGAACACTCTCCGCTCGCTCAGTGCATCTCCCCTTCGACATCCTACAACATCCCCCTCTAACGTTGGGCGCCTCACCTGTTCACCTATTCCACTATTTCACCACAGTAGCGACATTGTACCTGTCAATAAGCCTCAAATCTATCTATCTTCCTTCTACATGAGACTGCAAGGGAAATGGCCATCCGCCCGACAGAAATCCTACCTTCCTCGGGGTAACTGCGGTCAACGACCCTCGATGCTCAATCGGGTTTGCGAGATATTAACTTCTGACCAAGATTTCCCTGGATACAATGGTTCGATATACCTAAATTCCCCAGAAAGATACGGCATCTACTGACTGAGGCTCTGAATAGTCCGCTCCCAAGGCTTCACGAACGCTCCGCTGCCCCAATTGTGACCTCGTCGTCGCCCGGCCGAGTCACCTCGCCCGTCATGTACAATCGCATCTCCATCCTTCCCAGCGGGAGCACTTCACTTGCGACCAGTGTGGCCGCCAATTTTCACGGAACGACGTCCTGCTCCGACATCTTCGTACTGCCCATCAAGCAACCATATCTCGAAAGCGGTCTGCGCAAAAGTCATGTTTTCGCTGTGTCAAGAAGAAGTTGAAGTGTGACCGTTCGCAGCCGTGTCTACCTTGCAAAAAAGCAGGATCATTCTGCAAACATCCGACAGACGACGAAAACATGGAGCGTGGGATTACAGAGGGCAAAATTGAGTCGCCCACTCCATCCACCCAACTTCCAGAGCAGCAAGTATGTCAGGATGCCTCGTTCCCCGGTACACAGGACTATCGGGACGAGGCAGAAACCCGTCTAGAGATTGTCAATGGAACTTCGGATCTGGTCAGTAATACTGCTCAGAGACCAAGCAATGGTCGAGTTTTCAACGGCAACACGTCGTTTTTCCATCCAACCCCAGAGGGAAATCCGATGGATATGATCTCCCCGGACCTCGTGTCTTTTCCGAATACCAGCCCAGATGGCGGAGCCGAGTTCAACCATTCCATGATGGGATTCGAGGGCTTTCTGCCAGGCGACTTCAACTTCATGTCTTACGATCCTGCCCCGAGGATTGGCGGTGGTGTGGACTGGCTCAATCTCGACCTTGACTCGCCCGGTACTGGCGAACTTCAAGCTCACTATCAGAGTGGAGCTTTTGGGCAACCGATGTATTTTCAACCATCGATCCCGCTTGACCTGCAAGAGCCGCTGCAAAACAGAAGCCACCAAGCCATATCTGCACAACTCATGCCAATTCGACACCAAGAATCCAAAAACCTTTCGACCAAGTCGTCCGAGTCGCGAGCCACCTCTCAGCAATGGCCCTTTGACCACACACGGAACCCTGAATCTCAGCGATACAGACTCCCTCCTTTACGAGACATTTTACAAGGCACTGTTGCCTCTAGTGAAACTAACAATGGGACCACTATCAGAAGTCTGATTCAGCTGCTGTCGTCACCATACTTACCAGAGCAAGATCTCTCTCACGACCCGAGCATGAAATCTGCAATGGAGCTGCTGAAAAATTCCTTAGATTTGTACTTTGCAGAATTCCACAACATTTTGCCTCTTGTACACGTTGCCACCTTTCAGATGACCAAAGTCCCTACCGTCACACTGGCCGCCATGGCTTGTATTGGAGCCATGTACTCAGACGACCAACAGGGGACAGAACAGTCATGGTCTTTGAGTGAAATGTGCGGCCAAATGATTGCATGGCTGGTATGTTTTGGACCTTGAAGCGATGCAAATGCTAGTGACTAATTTATTGGATCAGGGCGTGGGAGATAGCACTCGCTTTTACAATGCGCCGTATCTCATTGCTTGCTGCCTTCACCAGATCTATTCACTTGGGTCTGGGAATATGAGGCTTTACGCTAACGCAGATTGCTCGAGGGGCATATTGATGGGTTGCCTCCGCGGGATGGGTTTGTTGAAGTCCCGTATCAGCACCGAGGTTGAGTGGGAAGATTTCAAAAGCCCCCTGCCCAACGAGAATGCAGCAACTGAGTGGCTGAGATGGAAAGACCAGGAGCAAGAAAAGCGCATTGCTTGGTCTTCTTTCGAGTACGACTGCACTTTATGCACCTTAACCGCGCGACGAGGTGCTGCTGACTTACAGGAACTGCCGTCTTTTCTGCCCTGCACTGAGCCTTTGTGGGATGCGAGATCCCCTCAAGCCTGGGCAGCTCTTTACTCACGCCTTACCCCGACCGCCCGAGGAGCCTCGACCGCGAAAATACTTCGAAATCTTCTGGCTGGAAAAGGCATCCCTGAGGATCTACCGGCGTGGGGAAAGAGGCTGTGCGCACAGAGCATTGGCCGACTTCTTTGGGACATCAAGCAGTTGGACATCATGGCGACCACCGAGTACCTGAAACTCCCTTCTCTGGCTGCAGCTCAGAGACAGACCAAAAAGCACTCTACTGCAAGGACTCAATGCGCTTTGTGAATCCATGTATTC